ATCACAAAGTACACAAACAGTCTGCTAGAAATAGGAGGTCAGACTGCAATTAGCAGTATTAGATTTGTGTAGCTCAGAATGCTTCTGGCAGGACTTGGGGTCTGGGGGGCACAGCACACTTTGCTGATTATATGTGCATAATGCATTGAAGGACATAAGTTTTCATCAGTGAATTCAGGAAAATCTACAGCGTTACTTTAATACTCTGCAGCATATCTTTAGTTTCGTGCTTTATCTTTTCAGTCACAAAACCACAAAAGCTTAAAAACTAATTGCTTCATATTGCCCAGATTGTTACCAGCCAGCCCAGAGTCTTCTGCGACCAAGCTTGGCAAAGCATCCTCTAAGTGGAGACCTTTGAGCCCATTAATTCTCTCTAGAAGGTGCTTTTTCTAGAAAAGTAATTTATCAACTCCATATGGACTTGAAGTGGATTATATAACCAACAAAAATTGGGCTACAGATAGCCATGCAGGTCCTGCTGTGACATTCCATTACCGGTGGATGTCTGTGCTGCAGTGGGATTAGTGGCAGGATGATGTCTGCAGTCAGCTGTGCCTGAAAAACTGTGTGCTGTCTTTCCCAGGACTTTGTGTTTTATGCCCCTCGTCTGAGAATTAACAAGAGGATCTTGCAGCTCTGCATGGGCAACCATGAACTGTATATGCGACGCAGGAAGCCTGACACCATTGAGGTGCAGCAGATGAAGGCCCAGGCCCGGGAGGAGAAGCACCAGAAGCAGCTGGAAAGGTGAGCCTGTGTACAGACAACGGGATGGGGAGGCAGAGGAAAATGCCAGAATTCCTCAGATGGCTTTAAATGAGGCTGTGAGCCATCTACCTTTGGGTGAGGTGTGTGCATATCGTCCTTGAGCTCTGGCTGTCAGTGGTAGGACTCGGGGCATCCTGCAGTGGGAGCATGAGAATTCTTCTGGCTCACATTTGTAGTCTGCTCTCCTGTCTGCAGTCTTAAGAGCTGGTTCTTCAAGGAACCATGCACATGAAGTCACTGTGTGCTCCTGTGTTGCGGTCCTATACCTTGAGAGAGGTTCTCCTGTCTCTGGTCTGTGTTGGATTGTGGAGTGGGTGGAAGCTGAAGGAGCAGACTTCAAAGGGAACGTCTGTATGCAGACTGGAAGACCTCTTAGAGGCAAGAGAAAAGGATTAACAATTCTGCTGGACTCTCTACTATGGCTGCAGGTTGCTTACGATTCGAGAAATCATTCTGATTTCTCCTGTATTGCTGGCTTTTTCATCTTCATTCCTCAGTGCTCATTTGATTTTTCCTTATGACAGAAGTAATAAAATACATCTCCTCTGCCATGTAGCACAGAGCCATGATTTTCTCTCTCTGCATCTACTGTTTATTTGGTTCTCTAAAGTTCTGGGGTAGCCTACAAAAAATAGAAGTACTTTTATGAAATATGAGTATCCAAAACTGGGCAAAAACTGAAGTGATTAAGGATGAATTTCTCAGTGCATTTCTGTCTTCTGGCTCCTGTTTGTGGCAGTCACACAACCTTGTCCTATTTAACTGAATGGAGAGATGACCATCCAGTTTTCTTGCCTTGCTGTGGTTTATGTCTGAAAGTGAGCTTGAAGCATGAAATCTGTTCCTAAACAGGCAGCAACTAGAAAATGAAAAGAAGAAGAGGGAGACAATTGAGAGGGAGAAGGAGCAAATGTTGAGGGAAAAGGAAGAACTGCTGGTGAGGCTACAAGAGTATGAAGTGAAGACTAAGAGAGCAGAAAAAGGTAAAGTGCTTGCATTGTTTAACCAGATCGTGTGTATTGTGCTTCACACTTAGCTAAGTCTAGTGACACCAGGATCTCTTGGCAAGGCATGCTGATATCTGCTTATGTGGATAAATACACATGCATGCACTGCTGACGACATCCAAGGCATAAGTCACGACATCTGCTGCTATCAGTGGGAGTTGAAGGTCACACTAACTCTGTTTTTTTCCCTGTTGCTGAGGGGGTTTTAGCATGAGCCTTTTGCAGCAATGAGAACCAGAGCTCAGCTGGCACATGCTTTTTACTTAACTCTGAACAGAAGGAATGGTTTGGTAACAAGTCCTTCCAGTGAAATGGAAGCTTCTGTTTCAGTGCACAGATGAGCAGCTTGGAGACAGCATCATCTGGTCCTCACAGTAAATTGTCAACTAAGGGCAGGAGGATCATGGCAGTGCAAATACCTTGTAGATGATCTAATTATAATGTGCAACCGACAGCTTCTGAATTTGGGTACTTGCCATATTTTGTGCAATACCTACTTGTAAGTGCAGTGAAGAAATATCGCAGGCTGGAGTCATGCATGTCATGACTTCTGCAGTTAACCTATGAGCTTGTCTTTGCCTTGCTTGTCTTTTGGTGGACTAACAGTGTTGATCTGTTTTTTCCCAGAGCTCTCAGATCAGATCCAAAGAGCTCTTCAGCTGGAGGAAGAAAGGAGACGAGCTCAGGAGGAAGCAGAACGTTTGGAAGCTGATCGTCTGGCTGCTTTGCAAGCCAAGGAAGAGCTGGAGAGACAAAATATTGACCAGATAAAGAGCCAGGAACAGCTGGTAAGACCCGATCACTTTTGGTTAAGATATGCTATGCCACTTACTTAAATAAGGCCTTGGAGTCAAAAGGGAAAAAAAAATCAAGCAATCTATACTTTGTTCTTAATTTCCTATTCAGTCTTTACTACAAGGGAGTGTAACACATGGGTCTTTTCTCAGTCGAAACTGTTATTTGTTGTGGGGTTGTTTTTTATTTTTTGAGTCCTTAATTCTGGTGTTACTATTTAACAGGCTGCAGAGCTCGCAGAGTATACAGCCAAGATTGCACTTCTTGAAGAGGCAAGGAAGCGTAAGGAGAACGAGGTTGAAGAATGGCAGATCAGAGTGAGTATTCTGTCAAAGTTGCTCTGAAGTTCTGTGCTTGAGCAGTGTGTACTGTGGTGCTTTAGTCAAAATTTAAAGTAGAAGGTGTTGAACACAGTTCCGCATGACATCCTTGTCTCTGAACAGGAGAGAAGTGGATTTGACAGAGGAAGCACGCAGTGGCTGAGGAATTGTGGGGATGACCACACTCAAAGAGTTGCGGTCAACAGCTTGGTGTCCAAGTGCAGACCAGTGACAAGTGGCATTTCTTGTGGCGTTAGGGCTGATGCTGTCTGTTAGCTTTGGTGACATGGACAGCGGGATCGAGTGCCTGCTCAGCAAGATTGCTGATGTCAGCCTCACCGCACCCATTGGTGACACGCTAGAAAGAAGGGATGCCATGTGGAGGGGCCTTGACAGGCTCAAGAGGCAGACCTGCACGAACCTCATGAGCTTTTTGCTTTTGTTTGTTTTCCCCAAAGGCTAGGGAAGCCCAGGAGGATCTGGTGAAGACAAAGGAGGAGCTGCACTTGGTAATGACTGCTCCACCTCCACCTCCACCCATCTACGAGCCAGTGAACTACCACGTGCACGATAACCTGCACGATGAGGGGTCTGAGTACTCTGCCTACAGTGCAGAGTTCTCCAGTGAGGGGATCAGGAATGACCGCAATGAGGAGAAGCGCATTACTGAAGCAGAGAAGAATGAGCGTGTGCAGAGGCAGCTGAAGGTAAGAGAAAGTGTTTGGAGGAGGAGAATTAACAAGAGATTTTGTTCATGGAAAATAGATAAGTTAACAGCTTGGTTAAACACACACACAGTGATTTTTTTTCTTTGCTTACAGGTCCTATAGGGCAGGTTGAATTAAAGGCAGTGTACAAAAAGGTTGTTCTTGTTGTTCAGGCATTGAGTCATCAGAAAGTTGCATCATCCATACTGTTTATGGGAACCGTATGTTGTATCCACATTGCTGACTTGTCTGGTCATCTAAGAACTGTCAAAAGTCTCACCAAAGCCACTGCTGTTGGAAGTTGAAAGTGTCTTGTGTCTAATTTGTATTTAATGTTCTCTCCATTGCAGGCACTGACAGATGAACTGGCGCAGGCTAGAGATGAAGATAAGAGGACCCAAAATGATATCATCCACTCGGAGAACGTGCGACAGGGCCGTGACAAGTACAAGACGCTGCGGCAGATCCGACAAGGCAACACCAAGCAGAGAATTGATGAGTTTGAGGCAATGTAATGAGTGCTTACAACAAGAAGGCAAGACTGTGGGAAAGGCAGATCTTAATGCTGTGGTTTTGGTTTTGTTTTTACCCTGAGGAGGGGCACTGTATGGTATTTAACAAATGTTCTCTAAACCCAGAGGTGTTTGCATCTCCCTTTTCTTCCATACCATGTATTAAATTTGGTATAGTTAAAAATCGATCTTACCTCTGATCCTGGTAACTTGCTCATGCCTTTGCTTCGTGCCAAAAGGCCTTATGTCACATCTCTCTTTAACCAACACAAATCCACATCTAGTTGTAGCGACATGTCCTGTGCAGGTGCTGGATTCACCTTGGTCTAAAAATTAGCAACTGGGGGTGAATTTTGTGCCATATGTCTTTGTGTTAATGTCCAACAGGTGAGAGGTCACAAGTCAGGAATTGCAAACAGCTGTGTGTGCACTGATGCATGCACATGCACTCTGTTTTCTTTATGTCCACCTGACACACAAGCAAAAGAGAACTGACAGCACCTCAGAACTGTACTGCATTGAAATAGGGCTTTTCCTGCTTCCTGTGCTTAACTGAAGAAGTGCTGCAGCAGCTCCGAAGTGTGGCACAGAACAGGGCACCCTCCTCATGTAACAACTAGGCAAACATTCTGTTGGAATAATACACTACTGTGTTTGCATTCCAGTTTCATTAACTGATCAGTTATAGTGTAGTATTTATATATATATAAAAATATGCAGTATGTGGATTGAAGTACTAGTTTAAAAGGGAAATAGTTTTGCTCTGTATATTTTGTTACTTTTCAGATTTAATGACTCGCATCTGTAAAGACGCCTGAACACTGTAGTCTGCAGTATAACTGATTATTTACTATAAAGCATTATTTGTAAAGATCATTTTTTTACTTAATGAAAATTGATATGTACACATGGATCCAATATATACAATTTTACTGCACCTATTTTTCTAACAAATTTTCTAATTTTTTAAGTGTTTGATTTAAAGTTTCAGACTCCAAACATGAAGGGACTGCTTGTTTATATCACAGGTGTATCTCTCTATTAGAGAGCATTTCTGTGACCATTCCTTCCCCACTGATCTCCCCCTTTTCCTTGAAAATCTGTTAGAAAGTGAGATACAGCATGGTGTCAGCTCTTCTCTTCCATTTACAACATCTGTGCTGCTTTATACTCGAGTTGAATCTTCTTGTGTGGTGTTATTTTTTTTTTATTTGCAGCAGCAAACATCTAAATAAAAGATCTGCAAAGTAACAAAGGATTTTGAGTTGAGTGTTTCATGAGTGCATTTTAGTGAAAAAGGGTGCTGACTTCTGGCTTCCAAGGCAAGTGCATGCTTCCCTTCTTTGTTACATCCTTAAACACCGCTGAGCTGGCACGAAGGGATAATACTTGCTGTACTGACAAATGGTGACCATCTTCACCTCAGCCCCAAGGGAGAGGTAAGTAACAGCAGCACCAGGTAAAGCTGTATAGATGAGGTTTCTGACTGTAACGCTGCTTCACTGGAGGCAAAGGGAACAGGCAGCGTGCATTTCCACCAGTTCACATGAATAAGTGATAAGCTGAGCTGTGCCATACACCATATGGATCCATCTGACTTGTTAACACCAGTTGACAGCAGCTGCTGGTAAAAACAAGGAACTTTCTCTATCAGCATTTATTCTATTAGCTGATGTGCCGCACTCCTCCCACCAAAGGAGAATTTATAACTAACCAGTTAGCACAGCACACATTGGAAAGCTGTGAGGCATGCAGGCCAAATTGTTTTCGGATCAGTAGTATGGGCACTGGAGATAGTTCTGAAGTACTGCTTGTTATAATTTTGCAATAAGATAGGAGGTAGTTTTTACTTCCCTTCAGTGACAAAGCATGAAAACTGGAGTGAAATAACTTTTTTTTTAATAAGAAAATGATCATTTATCTCTATGCAATATTCCTTATCTGTGTTTGAACAACTGTAGCTCTGTGTCCAGAAAGAGAAAGCTGCATACCATCTGTCTACTAGTGCCTTGTCAGCATAATGCCTTTCAGTTTGTTACTCCTGAGAAACAATATTAACCTTTATCTCTAGGTGAAGAGCAAGATAAGATAACAAAGCTTTAGATTTTTGAGAAATAAAACCTTCAGTATCACAACCATTCAAACTTACAACTCAATTCCCCCAACACAGAAGTAGGTACTGTTGTGTACCCTTTCACCATGCTTAGAATGTATATGCACCACTCCAACCCTGAACATCACCCCCTGAGAAGGGAAGGCAGGCCATTATCTTCATGATTTAAAGTTTTCCATATTTGAATGCAGTATCAGTGTAAAGTCCATCCACGTGTTTGGCCTGCGCAACACTTCTTCCCACTGAAGCACTGACGGTGAACTGGGGTCTGCAAAACCAAGCAATTGCTCTGCAAGAAAGCAAAATGAAAGGTCACGGGGCTGCTTTTCACTTCACCTTACCCAAAGATTTTATTAGAGTCAGGCCCAAATGACTGCACAAGCGCATTCTCCCAGTTCTTAGGCAATTTCATCAGTTCTGGAGTTGTGTCTTATTTGCAATAAACTGTAGCTACACTCCTGAAGCGTCATTTATATGCTGTTAGACTTGGATCACTCAGTGAAGAACTCAGTCTGCAGCAAAGAACTTAGCCAGAAGTAAAGGAGCAAATGCACAATTCAAAAGTGGTAGAATAGGTTGGTGCCACTTCATCTTCAGTGACTGTAATGCGTTACTAGGCTAGGACATGGATAATCACCGTCACTAATAAGCTCTAACAGAAAGGCAAACAAAGTAGTGTAACAAGGCTGCAGAGAGAGTGGTGAGGTGCTGGAACAGGCTGCCCAGGAACAGGCTGTGAATGCTCCATCCCTGGAGGTGTTCAAGGCCAGGTTGGATGGGGCCCTGGGCAGCCTGGTCCAGTATTGAATGGGGAGGTTGGTGGCCCTGCATGTGGCAGGGCGGTGGAGGAGGGGGAAGATTCATGATGCTTGAGGTCCCTTCCAACCTTGGCCATTCTATGATTCTATGAAGTGACTTGAATCTCCAGCTTAAGCCTTTCATCTCAAATACCAAAACCAGAGCATTTACTGTCAGCTGTCAGGGAAAGCAGACATGAGAAACCCCATTGGGCAATCAAGTGTCAATACTTCTCTGTTCAACAATTAGTTTAAGTAGGGCCTGGTCACTGAGCAAAGGATTTCCTGTACATTTCTCAGCCTTCAGAAAGTACTCTCTTTACGTTAGACCAGAGCTCGGACATGCAATAGTTCCTTTAAGACTTTTGAGCAAGCTTCACTTTCTGTACCTTCTATCGGAAAATCATGCGAATGTAAAATAAACACAAATATCTGCAAGCTTGAAATCTAATAGATCATTACTTCTTGAGCTCAGTTTTGATGCAGTTTATAGCATTTTTAAAACAGGCAATTTATAGAGAAAATCACTCAAGAACAAGTCTTGAATCACCCACAGCTAGAGCTCTGTATGTATCTTTCATTCCCTACTCTATTTGTCTTCTGTGGAGCCAAGCACTGACCCAGAACATTCCCATGCTAACAAATAGCTTTGCCTGTCAGTTCCCATTGATGACCTGGAGCTTCTGCACAGACTGAACTAAAATACACACATTGCTTCCAGCAGGATCAAAGCCTGAGATGCGAGTTGCTTAGGTCACAGACTGGGGGCTGTATGTCAGGCACATGCTAACAGCACAGTGCAAATATGGTTTAGAAGGTAAAATAAACATTTTTTTCCACTCAAATCAGCATCAGCATTTATCAGTAAAGAACTTACTTGCACCCAGCTTGACTCCCCCTAGGAACTGATCACGTGAGCCAAAAGTTGACTGGTCCCAGACAGTCAAGTGTAGACATGACTGCTGTAGCTGAGCTGGGGTAACATCAAAGACAAACAAGTGTTTCCACTGAGGACAGTCTTCTTTCTTCACCACAGGTGACTTTTGCTTTAACTCTGCTTGGTCTGAAAGGAGAAGACAGCTTTTCCCCCCCACCCCCCCAAAAAATAAATAAAATGCAAGTTCAGCAAGTTTACTGATCCAAGCAGTATTTCTCAATCAGAAAACAGAACGTTTGCAGTACTCTAATCAGGGTCCTTCGATTTGCCTTAAATAGCTTAAGTACAAGGTAGAACGTGATGATATTCAGTTTCTTTTCTGGATTGGCTTTTTCTTCCCGCCCTCAGTGTGGGTCTCCACATCTGCTCTTCCTCTGTTGCCAGTGACTGTTAAAGGAATCTTTAGTGAACTCTAAATTTTAATGACAACAGCAAACTCTGATGTTGCACTCAGGACACCTCACTGCCCTGCTGAGGGCCGCTGTTCTGCAGATGCTCAAGTGTGAACTGGCACCACTAAGAACAAGTGTGACCAAGCGTGGACAGTGCCACTTCCATACAACAGTCTCCTGCTGAAAGCAAGCTAATTCCTACCTCTACACAGGATGTTTGCAATATTTTCCATTTGAAGCGTTAAGTCTCATACGTACCCTTTAACAAACGAGTTCAGCATTCCAGCAGATCTCAGCACAGGCAAGTTCCTGGCCCCAAATATCATAACCTGAAGCTGGCAGTTGGAAAATTCTTGGTCTTTTTTTCCTGAAACAGGAAAGGTTACCACATTAAGTAACCAGTTAGTTCACTTGATATCATAAGATGTCACTAATTAAAAAGGAAAATTACAATTTTGATAAGGACTCACTGCTGCATAAGATGATCACTGCTCTGCTACAGCTCTATTTACAGGGCAGGGACACAGGGAAATGCAGAGGGAAGGAGAGTAGAAGAAAGCCAGCTGGTAGCTTAGGGGTTATTCAGAAAAAAAGGCAGTAGAACTAATCTAACAACTAAGTAAGGTCTTTCTATTGGTCTCTGCATGTTCTACGCTCCTGAACACAGCTTTACAAGGCCTCTAGACCCTTACGTACCTCATCATGAACCAGGGAGGTAAGAAATGAGGTTGACCTATCCACTGCCCTCAAAATGTCTGTGTTACTACATCAGCAGATGTTTGATCTGATACACTACTTGAGTGTTTAACATACCGTGCAAGTCATCCATCACCAAGAACTGAATCTTGATTGCACATTTTGAACCTAACATCTTTTAAGTGAAACAATCTTCCTAAAATGAGACCATAGGAGGAAAGCCCAGGACGCTGGCTTGGTACCTTTGGAGTCATTCCCTTGCACCTTTTTCCTAAATTGGCAGTCTCTACCTCAGACAGTGAAACTACTGCATCTCCTTCAAAGCAACACCACAAGAAGCACAAGCTTGCCAGACATCTCGATGCACCATACTGCAACCATTACAATGATTCCTTTTTTTCCAGTATTAAAAATAACAAAAAGTTGCAGCTGGCAAATGTTTGGATTGTAAAAAAATTTAAATGTAACATACTATAAACTGCATACAAACTCCATATGAGAACTGTCAGTTCTTCATCGGTCTCAATTCTTTTCTAGCCAAGGGATTCATGCACACTGGAACGTTTTATACCTTCCATCATCCACCTTCCAAACTGGAAATTTTTATACTGGGCTGGTACCGACAATCTTGCAGACACCAGGAGTTCTCCACTGTATTGAATAAGATTATCTTCAGGCTTTTCATGCTGAAGAACGAGAGACACAGAGATCAGAATTGCATTCTATTCCACATCATTCTCACAGCTCATTTATATATGTAGCAGGTCTTACTTGAGGGCTGGATTGACAGCATTCTTGCCCCAGTGACCTCAGAAGGACAATCTCTTTCATAGCGTTCTATCATTACACCCACTTCGTAAGCCAAAACTAAGCACAAATTAACAGTCACCTTGGACTGGAGCTGGTACCAGTTGAATGACCCCATTGAGCTGTCTTCAAAACTCCACGCTGCCAATGGAATCACCACTTCTCCCAAAAACACCCTGTACTTGAGTGCTCCTGCATGCCACACAGAGATCTGAAGCTGCCGGCTTCCCAGCTGGGAGCGCTCGATCTTGTACTGGAAAGATAAACAGCATTTAAAAGCTGTAACAGGATGAATGTTCACAGGATGTGCACAGGCAGCCCAACTAAAGCATGGCTGAAGGCACCTGGATGCAGACAGAATTATGCTGTCTGAACGTGCTTTGCAATTTACCTGTTACCTCACTCCTTAAATGCTAAAGTAATGCCCCATGCAAATGGAAAAAAAACTACATTCCAAAAATACCTTGGCCTGCACTGCTAATTATTAATCTGTATCTTTAAATCATTCTTGACTATTTTATAGATTGTTTTTTTTTTTTAATCATTCATTTTTTTTCTATTTTACACTCCCAGTACAATTTAACTGCTGCAGTTGGAGGTCAGTTCAAAATTGAGATACCTAACAAAGGTCTAAAACTTCCATTCTGGTCAGCGGAGGCGTACTCAGTGCAGCCAGTATGAGCAAGGAAGTAGTTCAAGAGACCTTCATTACAGCCTTGATCTACTCCTTAAGCATAGTTAGAGCCCTTCGAGGTGTCATTAGGTACCTAAGATACCCACAACGGATTGCTAAGCACGATACCACCTACAGGTGACCTGGAAGCCAGAGTCGATGGCATGGCTACAGGCATTGCTACCAACACTGAGGTGCTGAATCATAAGCTGCCTGTAGGCTATGGGACAAACAGCCCTGAATCGCTCCAGTGGCTCCTGAGAGCACCTTGCTCTTCACTAACACAGCCTGCTAAGTGCAGGTGTCTGGATTTGCAGCCAGAGATACCACTGAGTTGGATCTCAGCTTTCAAGTGTAGTTTATCTGCACTGGAACTATGTTCAATCCGCCATTTCCACATGTTTAAATCAATTTAAATTATTTCTAATTTAACTAACCTGAACATTTACACAGCCAGCTTGGACATGGCTCTCATTGTCTATCAGCTCTGCATTACTCAGGCACTGAAAAAGAACTATGAAATAAGAACCAAATATTTCAATGGTAGGTACTTTTTTCTCCCACCTTAAGCCCAGATATTCAGACATACTGAAATTTTCATGTAGTTCAAGGAGAAATATTATAAACTTGTCCCTCCATTAATTTTGTTTCCTGCCTGTTACAACATGTTACTGAAGAACACATCATTTTATTTGCTGCTGCAGCTCACTGATGCACACAAAGAGACGGGTTTATAGTGATCTCTGCACAAAACTGGAACAGGAAACAACCAAACTGATCTCAGCTCTGTCTGCTGACAGTACTTGGCTTCAGCTTCACATCCAATTAAGTGTCTGTGAAATGAGAATAATGGCTTCTATGTTCTACTCAATGTTGTTACAAGGTTGCTGAAGTAATAGCGTAAGGCACTAATGAATTCAAATCATACCTACTGTTCTCTGATGGGATTACTAATGTTTGAAATGAGACGGTCCAAAGACACAGTCTGGTAACAGCCGCACAGGGAAGAGGGAGCAGAAAACATTTTAGCAAAGTGGAATTCAGTCAGCATTCAGCTAACTGCAGAGAGATGCTCCCTAGGACAGTGCATAAAAGGGGATCAACTGAAAGGGATAGCAGCATATAATTAACTGTGCTCTGCAACGCGCTCAGTTCCTGAACACGCCAAATAAGTGCGTACAAGACACTACAGAAGACACTTTGCTTTTGCCAAGGTAACACATTCGTTCAGTGTTTTCATGCACAAAAGCAGATTTAACTGAGAGTTCACCATTTATTAACGTAACTCCAAAAGCATTTGCAGACAGAAACCCATCATTTTTTAATGGCTGCTGTCACTGACTTCTAGAATTGGCCCACCAAGACATTTCTGAACTCACAGGACTGTATGTCATAGGAGGAGACATTAGCATGGAAAAGCACATTTAGCAGGACACAACTGCAAACAGTACCTTTAAGGTCTCATCAAATTCTGGATCCACTGTGTTCTTTTTGACAGCTGTCTTCCGCTTACTCCGAGAAGATTTATCAGGAAGTAAATAAACCTTGACATACCTTGAGAATAGAGAAGTCATACAGAAAGTGACCAGAGGGTGATAAGTAGAAGAGCAACTAAAGTGTTTGAAATTACCTTAGTGTTGATTCAACAAAAGACAGTTTAAAAAGTCTTCTGGAAGCTGAGTTGAATCAATATCAAGCATCAACACCATTTAACCATGTTTAGGTCATTTAACAATTATGATTTAAGCATTATTCTCCATATTAAGGAGTCCAATTAAGGAGCCACATTTATGTGATAGCTTCAAAATTGATGAGTATTAGCAATAGAGAATGATGGCTCACAATTTGGCAGGCAAATCTCTAAACCAGTGTTTGCGGTACGTATTTCAGATAACATGAGTTAGGCCAATTTTTAAATGACCTCTTAATTAATAAAGAGTTAAGATAAGAGCCTCATATAATCAGTGCAGAACTTACAAGTATTCCCTATTCTTTCCAAACCTATCTATAGTTAAAACTACTTTTTAAAATATACAGGTATAAGAACTTTCAGCTCCTTACTCCATCATCCCAGATCAATTTAATTAAGAAGTAGACAGTCAGACTTCAAACTAGCCAACCAGCTAAACAATTCAACAGGTTTTAAACATAACTTATGAGTTTGTCAGTTGTTTTTGTCTTTTTCTGTCAAGTGCACTGATGGTACTTTCTGCGTTGGCTTGGAAACCAAGATAAATATATGAATACATGAATATATACCATTAGAGAACATGATGTTCACTGCACAGCTCTTCCCACATCACTTTTCAGGCTTCCTGCAACTGTTTGCCTTCCTAACTCACCAGGGGACTTGGAGAACTTTGACCCTCTCCTGAAACACTCCCACAATCCTGCTTCATGATCTGTTTTTTCAGCAGCGTTCTTTTCCTCACCAAGCTCATCTTTATGAGCTTCCTCCACAAGATATGCAAAGCCACATTCCTTCTGAGTGAAGGTGACTGCAATCATGTGACAGCAGGGACAAGAATATGTAGTTAGGCATTCTGCTTGGTGATTTTCCACAAATGATTACTGCATGGTCAGAGATCATTTAGTAACAAACAAACAAATCACCAAGGCTTAACCATCCAACCAGTCATTTTACCCACAGAAGTAAGCATATTACTTCTTGTGGCAGTACGTAATTATTAAGCACCTTTAAGCTTTAAGAAGTGCCGCAGTATCTGAGATTTCCATTCTTATTGATGAGGAAGGCAGAAGCACAGAAGTAGTGTGCGTGCAGTCAATGTGTCTGGCAGTAACCCGCACTGAGTCAGTAGATAAATTAGTAACATGACTCACCTTTCCATTTTCCATCTCGTATTTTAGCTGTGTGTGTATTAATTTTGCAGGCACAAGTTAATAGCTAGAATCTAAACTGCCACTCTCAAGATCCGAAGGTGCTCATCAGCAACACAGATAACCAACTGCCTGCTTGCAGGCAGGCAAAGAGACAGTTAATAGCAGAAATGTGTGCGAACAAGTAGTGCTAATATGAAACGTGTGCTTTGCAGCGCAGAGAGGTAAAAAGTGCAGATATGCACTGGATGTTCTGAAAGTCTTAATACAGCATGCCATCATATATGAATCCATTTCAATTACAGCGTATGTAAGTACCCTTGAAACAATAAGCAAAATATTCTGTTTTTTTCTCCTTCTCTATAAAATACTTACGGGTTACATTTTTTCTTTCTCTCCTCTCCATAAGCCAGATTCTTGCATCCTCTGATGCAAATTTCTAAGATGCAAGCCTTAAAGATGTATCTTATGGCAAACTCTATTTCTCCTGTGATGTTCACTTTGCCAAAGTTGCCGGATTCAGTGCAAGTGCTGTTAAGACTATACAAACTCCCCTGAGAAAAGACAAACATGTCAGAAAAGTAGCTTCAGATCTAGGTGAACAAGACATTTATTTCTCTCAAATGTCAGTGCTACCTTCACTGCATTGCTATTGCTACACAGCTATTGGAAATCATGAAGATTTCAGATAACATGTATAAAAATCATTCCGTTGCTTCCATAGGAGCCCTGAAAATTATAACTAATCCCAATTCTACTGTTCTATTAAACTCACTATTTTACTACTCACTATTCTAATTCCATTAACTCACAGTTAAGAAAGTACTTTCTTAGATTTCTAGATCTAGAAATTGTCTCCCAATAAAATTGCTATGTGGTTTCCCATCATAAAATGGGCTAAATACCTGAAAGAAAGAGAGTTCTGTCCACACTTACAGAAAAATCCCAAAATTTACAAAAGCACAAATTACATAACTAGACTGCTATTGATGCTTACAGCATCAATACAATAGAACCTGAGATGCTAGGTTCTATTGGATATTAAAGAAACAAAAGCATCAACGCACAACCAGTAAACACTCCAGAAGATCACTCAGTTCCATATAGAAATGACAGACTGCAGCAGATTGCTCAGGAAATATTGATGTACAAAGACATCCAGCTGTCTGGATGTGGGTTAGCACATTAGGAAGGTGTTTTCTGGCTCACCTCAGCCACTTTGTTCTCCTTTCATCTACATGCTCCTACAGGGCAAAGGTTTGGATGCTCTCCTTCCAGATAGATATAAACAGTATTTGTTTCTAGCATTTACAGGGGCCGTGACACTGAAATAAACAGGAAGACTACAGCCTTTTCTGTGGCCCACGTAACTCGTTAGTGCTATTCAGTCTTCACTGTACCAAACTGTCAACTGAGTCAGAATAATTTGGTCTCCATTCATCTATAATGGTGCTCTTCAAAATACACTCTAGCATCTTTTTACGTATCATATGTCATGAGGACAAGCTTGTTGTTGGGATTTATCTCATGGTAACATCGCCCTAGATTGCTAAAATATCTGCATTAGACCACTCCTCCCTCTGAAAAACAACACCAACCCACACAGGGTCGGTTAACCAAGGAGTTCTGCATTGCACAACCCAGCAGCTAAGACTGCAGAGCAGCATTTACAAGATCAGATCTTTCTTCTGTGCAGATGCTCCTGCCAAAATGTTCTCTTCAATGCTGCAGATGTGCTAACTGGTCATTTTAATATTCATGGCAACAGCTTACTTAAAGAAGCTCTCAACTCAATCTTATAAGCTCAAACCTGATGGAACAAGGATCAGAGTGCTTATTAAGGAAGTCACAAGTGTTAGGCTGTTGTGACCTGATGCAAGTTGCACGTAATCTTGCTCTCACCACAAGATGTGTATCAGTGCAATCTCCCTTGCAGCTTTGTTCAGTTCTGCTCTTTTCTATCCTGACATAGAATAGTTTTATTCTTCTGATCAAAATGATTATTTTCCACAAAAATCTTTCACTAAAAAAAAAAAAAAAAAGTGCATTTCCATCTTATGTATCTTATTAGAAGTTCTGCACACATAACCCAAAATTTATTCCACAGGCCCTCATATTCTTAAAACCTGGACAGCTATTCTGATGAATGATATTTGGATTGAATGCCATTACATTCATCTCCCACTTGATCAGAAATCATGTTTTATATATATTCAATCAGTGTAGATATCACTCATACTTTTGCTTTGTAAACTAGGATTTAGCAATGAGCTATGCACTACACTCCTGCTGGCATGACTGGAAATAATATCATACTGTGTTTTGGAAGACATATTTTCATGCAGTAGTCATTAACAACAAACATTTACCCATAAGAGGAACTTTACTATTAAAACTGGGCTGTGGTTGTCTATAGCCTAGTTCAAACGGCTGCCAGCAGAATCACAAGTGTCCCCCAAAAGCACTGTTCATTTGCCAGTGCAACACCTCAGCCTCCACAGCTCGGTAAATAGGAAGAGAGAGTCCAAATCCTTGTTTTTTTATCCCCTGTGAAGTGAGCAGGCTGCTTTCATTTTGATTCCTCAAGAGCCATTTTAGTTCTCTTCTTTACAAGATCAGTCACGGATTCTTTGGACACTTCACCCTGATTGACCTCATCACTAATACATAGAAATTAGCAGCCAAGGTTAATCACAGAGACTTTAAAGGATGGACTGAATTCATTTACAACTAGCTTCCTTCTCTGTAATTTTCAGTATTCAAAATGCCATCCACCAGAGAAGTTTCAGTAACATCCTCTAAGCCTATCACCTGTTCCCCTGACTTCCTTAACTGCCAGCTTTCTCTTCATTCACCAAAGTTCTGACATTTGAATTTCCACTGGCATTTGCATTACCACACCTCTTGCAGAATAACAAAAGCCTTCTGTTAAATGAAGTAATAAGAAAAAGAAGGTGGCTACTAGTCTAGAAAGAATCACGTTCAGGATCTCAACACTAACACAAAACGGAAAGAATGTTAGCTGAATTTGCAAGACTCAGAGGAACCTGATATATTAGTCATTCACTATTAATGGCTATACCCATCTACCAATTATCTGTTATTAATTTTATTGGGCTTGTGCTGTGAATAGTTCAGTGTTTCTACAATGACCTTGCCAAAAGCATTTTATCAGAAAGAAACTCAAGTAAAATTCATACATTCTGTAATATAAATCAATATCTTAGCTTTTACATTGATCTCCACGTGGTAGCTGTTCTGTTGTGCTTCACGCTTAAACTTACATGTTTCCTGCCATCACAGAAAACAGCATCACTTGTGGGACTGGTTGTTATGTCTTCCTCTTGCTTGCAATTCCTTTTGGTAAGAATGTCATTATCATTTTGAGCCCCATAGAAGAGATCTTGAAGACTGGGTGTACTTTTCTTCTGTAAGAGATTCAAAAATTTATTTTGGGTTTTACTTGTTTTTTTTGTTTTTTTTTGTTTTTTTTGTTTTTTTTTTTTTTTTAATAAAGAGAAAAGCCTCAGTTCCTTCAGAATGGTATCACACAAAAATTAAGTAAATATCTACAACTCACATTGATCAATGTCACACAGATGGCACACTTCCAAGATAAATGTAGCAACTTCATTTAAATGTTGACTTACAACATGCCCATTTCAGCTAGCAGTACATTCATTACATCCATCATTCTTTAAAATCAACACGCCGCCAGCTAAGCTGTAGTTCACTACCACAGTAATTGCTAATCACAGTCTGCAAATAACATAGCAGAAGTAGTAATATATCAATAAAAGGCCCTACTAAACTTTAACAAAACAGTAATTTTGGAAGAAAAAAAAAAAAATCTAGCCTCCAGGAAAATGAAAATAGTATTTTGTAAAATGCATGACACATGCCCATGTCTATTTATGCAAGAATGAATGTAGGTTGAAAGAAACCTGAAAATAGAACCAGACTGACAAATTCTTATTTAGCTTTGATTACAGAAAAAAAGATCCAAGTTTTTCTTGATTTTAAGACCATTCACTTTCTCACTCTTCCCACAAAAACCCTGATAATTGGTAGAAAATAAAGAAATGTAGTAGCAGAACACCTTGAGATTTACTTTCAGCCACCCCTGTTCCAAATAATAATAGACTTCATAGAACGAAGGGCAGGAAGACTGGCGTATATGGCTCACTGTGACACAGCATTACCCCTGAACAATAAAACCTATGAAAAGGGCACTCATGGTTCAAAAGAGATTGAGCTGAGAAATTTTAGAGTTAGAATCTAAGAAAACAACTGTATGACAAGGATTATCCAAAAGACTAGCAAGACGATAGTGTGACTGAATCAATGAAATGATAAGGATTTATCGGCATGAAAAAAAGACTGTATACATTTAACAAGCCTAGGAAACTCTCCTGCACCACCAGCAGAAAGCATGAAAGGATGAGAACAGCCAGAGACAGTTAACATGTTGAGACTACTTCTGAAAAAACAGGATGTAGAAAATCCAAAGCAGTATGCTGTTATTATAACACACAGAAATTGTTATGTGTAATAACTGCTGCACCTTACAGATGAATGTAAGAATTCATTAAGTTTCCTTGCAAGAAGGAAAAAGACAGAAAATGTAGCCAGGATATATAGACTAAAAAAGAAAACCTGAAAACAAAGTATTTCTCAGCAGTGAGATTTTTGCCTGGTTTTTAAAAATCTGAAACACCAATTTCATTCCCTAACCAAAGCAAACTGCTTCATGCTGCATTTTAGCTTCTGCTTGAATTGTAAAGACTTCTCTGTTAAGTGAAAAATAAATGACTGACAATGCAAAATAAATACCAGTGCCTAAGCTTAGCATCAGATCATAAGCAAGACTCGCATCCAGCCCTAACTCTGCAGCAGCACACATCTACTGTCACAAGAGCAGTACAAACAGGTACAAACACACCACAAACAGCTTCCAAAGCCTGCTTGTTTTTTTCTGTGAGTTAAGTATAATAGAACTTAATTCTATTTATCTATCTCTAAAAAAGAACTTAGATTTATCTGACGAACTTAAAGAGCTGATAATGGGAGGCCATAGAAAATGCTATTCAATTAACTTCCTAAATTCAGTCTTCAGGCTTGCTGATAGTAGTTGAGATTGCATTATTTTTTTCTTCTATTATTGAATTTAACTGTAATCTCTTTCAATATTAATCTAAAGGAATCAAGCTGAGACCATACCACAAATATGGAAACCTTACATGAGAAACAGATCTTGCTCTTTAGACCAAAGTGGTGCCCCAGTCTTATACCCTACGTAATCAAAAGGGCAGCTACATCTATTATTTCCTGGTCATTCCTAGGAGAAACATGCATACTCTAAAGGGGGGAAAAAATTCAATTAATTCTCTGAAAAATGAAAGTACTTTCTGGCATGTTAATAAAGGTAAATGCCAGATTCTCCACCTGGGATGAGGCAACCCTGGACAAGAAACAGAGAACTTCTGCACAGTCTAACAGTCCCATAGAGCAGATGACAATTAGCCCCAACACAGGCTGTGAGCACCCGAGAGAAAAGCGACCCATCCTCTCCCCATGTGATGGTCTTTGTAAAATCCTAGTTAACATTTCAGATCCGGGCTGAGACCAAGTGTGGAGACTCAGTCAAAAATCACGTGAGGAATCAGAGCTCTGGCCACAGTTAGTGAACATTAGCTGAAGCCCTGCTCATAAATAAAAGTAAATTCCCAGCATGCAAGTCACGATTCTTGAATTCTACTCCTGAAACAGCTCTTGCAGCTAGAGTTTGTGTGTAACAATTTGGATACCCTGCTTGTAATGTTGATGGCAGTGTCAGACTGGCTCCTCCTCTGCTTCCTTCTTTCCACGTTATGTCCATAATCTGTCGTTAGCAGACTTCTGTCAGCCATATCATTCTGGGACTTGGAGATCTCTGAAATGAATAGAAAAAGAAGTCTCTAGAACAAATAAGTACTGCTGGCAACCTTTTAGATTTAAAGACAAAGAACATCACTTTCAAAATTTTATCCTAGAGTTTTGCTACAGAACTCTTAATGAGAAACAAATGGGATGGCATGTACTCAACTCATTTTGTCCAATTATCATTTGCCTGCCTGAATCTTTCCTGCTATTTAACCAGAAATTACAGTCTTCGTTTCCTTTCATCACAGCTGCTACAAGAAATTGTTTCATGCTAATAAATACAGTCTTCTAACAGAAAGAGCTACTACAGTTCCTATATACCATTTGATTTGTGAAGTATTTATGTTGGTTCAGGATAAAAGTAAGGTCACTATAACAACACGTAGCAAACTCGATAATGGAAATTAGAAAGCAGAGGCACTGAAAAATATTTAGAAATTTGTTCAAAACATGAACAACAGAGATTACATACTCTGATCCCAAATCACATTTACTTATCAAGGTGAGAAGTAGCCCTTGTTGACTTCAATAACAATACTTATAAGTGCTAATTCAACTATATCTACTGTACTGTCAAATAAATCTACAGGACAATTGGACGTTTAGTGCACCGCTTTTTGTTTCTTATTCCTCAGAGTATAGTCAGAACTTCATTTACAGGGAAGGGCAGCAGTCATTAGTACTTTCTGGAGATTAAAATCAGTAGGCATAGCAGCAGACACTTTGTCATAAATCCTAGCTAGTTTCTCATAAAGAATTAATAACTTTGAAGTGGTACATGACACAGCTATCACATCTACTTCATTCTCAAGAAATAAATGTTCCTCCCATAGCACAAATCTCTGAGGAGGAACCTCAGACAGCAAACAGTATGTCAATATCGTACTCAAAAATAATGGCACTCTTAAGTGAGATTTTTAAAGCCACTTTGGATTACTTTTGTTCTTAGCAGCAATTAGTTGTCAGATATTTATTGTACTCCATGCACCATTAAGGGATCATGTGCTGTATTTATAAGCAAGCTCAATGAAGTGATCCCCAACTGTAAGTGAAATCAGGTTTTTTGATACACAGTGGGAACAGAGACATAAAAGAGACTGGAGTGAGAGATTCAAGGGGAAATACAATCTAAGTAGTTGAACAAAAGCTTTCCTCACACTCTCTTAAAATGAACATGTTAAGAAACAGGTTATCAGGGGGAAAGAAAAGCATCTTTATTTTTCAGGTCTGTTTCTCCTTTGGCATTTGTACCCACTTTTGCACTGCAAGTAAAACCACAACCAGCATCAACCATTAGATTATAACCTTCTGTTGCTGCCAAACCATGCCAAAACAGGGAGGTAACATCATCATGAGCAGACTGTGCAACAGAGGCATTGAGCTGCACATGCTAATCCTTTGTTCATATTGCTCTCAGACATACACAAACATTGGCTACGGTGACAGAATCAGAGGCAGATTCAGAACTAAGTTCTCCAGGTTTATTTACAGCAATACATAAGAGCTAGGTGTATAAAAACCTCTGCAATCCAAGACATTTCTATCTAAGTATGATAGAGCTAATTTTAGACACAAGTAACTGAAAGCATTTATGAGCACAGTATCAGGTTTTAGTGAGTGCCACACTGTATGAAAAAGCTAGCTTCTTCAGTCAGAGAGCCCAAGTCCTTCCCTCTATTAAAACATACAGAAACTCTAACAGCCTGTTATTTTCTCACAAATTAAAAGGATCTTACCCTAACTGAAGATGACATCAATTGAGTTTCAGGGTTTCAGATACAGCTGAGCTGACCTAACAACCTGCTGCCACCCCCCACTCTGTAACTGCTGCTCTTCCCTCCCTAACCCCAGGCCTCATGGGTCTGGCACCTTCTGTTGTGTGGGCTCCATCTTATAAACCCTAACTTCAGACAATTTAACTCAACAAAACAGCAGAGAAGTACTCATTTTGTCTAGGTTAGTGGTCTGCTCTTTTAACTGGCTTTCAGAAAGGTCCAGAAACACTGACTAATTCAGGTTAAGCAACGGCAGCACGAGGTCAGATACACAACAGATGAAAGATGTGGGGGCGCAGGACCTTCCTTTCAGTAGAAGTGAACTATTCAAATAACTTGCTGTGGTCCTGATAGGGTTTTGGACTGCAGTACAGTAACTGTGGGATACAAACAGGCTGTAAACTAACAGAAAGCAGGATACATTTATTCATTCAACTTACTGCTGCCTTAGCCACACGCTTCCAGTGACAAAGCACCCCACTGCACCCTGAGCCAAACTTTTGTTCAGAAGAAAGATACTGTATCTTGCATAGCTTTAGTATGTACTCACGTAGATACAACATTAAATTTGTATAGTTATGGAAAACAGAACAGGCCTTTTTGATGGATGGAAGAGGAAATGGCACACAACAGCTAAGATAAGAGTTAGGAGGAAAAGTAGAAAGATATTAAAGCCAAATTTATCGAGATCTAATCTTATATTTGAGTTGTCAAAAATGAAGTTAGTGGAAAATACTAAGGTCGATTCAAACACATGCAAATCTGCAAGCTCCTGTAATCTCCACAAAACTCAGAGGTATTTTTCCTCTGGTCATTGATGCCATTAATATCTTCATCACAAAGACAGGCTGCCCCCATTGCATAGACGTACATACATAGTCTGCACCCTAAAGAACAGCAAGCAGCATATATGAATGGAGTTAAAGGTTTGAACATCCAGTAAACTTAAAAATAACTTTATGCAGTCTTCTTACATCTTTATAAGAAATCATTCTTGGTTGGTAACATAGCTTAGTGCTTTATTTTTCTGATTGGCTCAGTCTTAGCAAAAGGCAAGCAGTCCATATCCTTTGTTTGTAACTGCCTCATGGCCAACAATTTGGACAAAAAAATTGAAATGCTCAACAATGTTATCCTAGAATACAAAGCAGTGAAAGCTACTTACTCTTTATGTGTGTTGTGAGAGACAAAAACAAGTTTTCCACAGATTTATTAAAACTTTTAGACTGTCCAAGTTCCTGCAAATGGAAAAGTTCAACTGTAAGAAAGCAAGCACAAACTATTTGCTGTTACACATTTCCTCCTCCTGCTATGTACTGCTGAGAAAAGCCCAGCTTTGTTACCTTGCTAACCCCCAACAAGTGATAAAGAGACCACTGCAGGATCCACTACAGCCATGTCCGCCCCAGGCTGAACAAGCTCTGGTCCAGCAGCTTTTGCCTACAGGACAAGTGCTTGAGCTTTCTTGGTGCCTCCCTGCCAAACATGTTCCCAGTTGATCAACATCTTTTCTTCAGTGAAGTACCCAAAACTCAGATACAGTACTCCATATGCAAACACGAAGTAGAGGAGGTTAATCACTTCCCTCAAAAACTGGAATTGAATTGAAAACATCTCGCATGATAGACTCGAACCTTTCTTCTACTACCAACGCAGCATGAGGGGGGAAAAAAAAAACAACAACATAACATAAGAGAACATTTACATGGCAGTATGATGTCACAGCCTTTATCACTGCCTACTGCATTTCTTTAGCTGGCCACTACATATGAATGGAAGCATGAGAGATGCATGAATATCTATGTATATTTTGCACATGTGTATGTTTACCTTAGCATTACTTCCTGCTGTGGATTCAGTGTAAGGAGGTGGAGTTGGAGGTACAACAGAAATTTTACTAGAAAGTTAAGAGACAAAAAACAGTGCAAAAATTAATATCTCATGCTAATGCATTGAAAAGTAAGCTAAATACATGCTCAGTATCTTTATTATCTGCCTTTCCTGTAAAATCTGAAGATATAGGTTCCACTGCATAACAGACTTTTTTTTTTTTAATAAGAATTTATAAAGAAAGACTTTATAAGAATTCTTACAAAGAAAGACTGAATTAAGTCTGCCTTTCTTTCTCATCAATCGTGAGCCCTTCTAGGCAGAACAGACAAGTTAATACCATAGGAAATATACAATTCAGGATAGATTTTCTAGACTTCTTTTTGGCTGGCAGCACTGCAGTCTGAGTTCCAAGCTTTGAAATGCAATTCCTGTGCTACACACCCCATTTTTCTTTCAGATATGTTTTCAGAAAGCAGTTATCTTTATTTACAATACTAGAATACTTCCTTGCCTGTGTCCTGGGCTGTTTGAGGCCTTTTTACAGCACTACAGCCATTTCATCTGTTGTAAATAGCCCTGGTCTGTAAATAAATAAATACTTAAATCTGACTTAAATCTAACAAAAATCCTACACATTCCTTCATTTCCAATCAATAAGAAACTAATACTCTAAAAAACAGTACTCTTTTTGTGAACTTGAGACCCTTCCTATGGCTTGCCAAGAGATAGGACTGTGCATTTTTTTCCCTGTATTTTTATCATTTGTACTTCAAATTTGTTCTTTATAATAATTTAAAGAAAAGTGATATCATGTGTTATAAATCAGCTCTATTTCCTATGCAAAGTCTTAGCGCCCTCAGAACATTTCTCCTTTCATGAGCATTACCTCAGTTTCTGATAAGATTTCAAGAGCTTTGCACCAGCTGTTTCATGCCTGCCTGTGAAGGAGAAAAAAAAGTCACTTAGCAACATCTGCAGTTATTAATGACTACATTGCACTTCCTATAAGTCAGTTTATTTTCAGGAAATAGCCTGTATTTACAGGAGTTTGTGTACATGCAAATGCACACAATTCAATCAATCCCCATCTCATAAATCAACATATACCCAAGGCAACACACAAATCTCTTCTATAACACAAATTTTAATTGCAATTTCAGCTTTTCTCCTTTTTCAGGTGATGCACTCAGAGATGCTCTTTGCAAACCCTGAGGACAATCACATAAGGATGCCAATGGGCATCTTCAACTCGCCAAGCGTCCTCAACCTCCCGAGGAGGTTGATGGTGCATAAGAACATAACTAAACCATAGCATGCAAGCATCAGGTAAAAGCTGAAGATACACTGCAAGAGTGGGCACATGGTTCCTACAATTTCTTCCATCTTAGGATAATTCCTTTCACCCTTCCTACTACAGAACTGGATGACAAAAGCCTTTTCCCCTCACGGGGAAATAGCAACCATGTCACATTCCTCAGATAAGCAGCCCCATGATGTTAAGAACAGCAAGGAGCAAGAGCTCCACCAGGCACAAACAGTGAAGGCTCACAGAAATGCAGTTTGCTCCTGAGCAATCATAAACAGAAAGAATGGCTAAATGCATGCAACGACCACTGCTGGAGTGGTTTTAATCATTAATCATTCCTAATAATAGCAATGCAGAACAGTATCATGTGACCCATGCTTTGCTGAAAACATAATTACATTCCTCACAGGTAAGTAACACATTCTGGTGGTGGTAGGAACAATAACCAACTTACTGATGTTACAAATTTCAATCAGAACTCCAGATTTAATGCTCTATTATTAATAAGTAGTATCTGGATTCGTTGTAACATTAAATGATTCCTTAGATTTTTAACTGACTGGTCAGTGAAAGCAATCTATCACTTTCACAAAAACATGATTTTTAGGTAGAAGTTACACAAAATTAACGGAAAGCAGTTCAGATACAACTTTTTTTTTTTAATATACATTATTCTGCAACATTCACTGAGAAATTCACTGTAACAAACTCAGTTGAATCAGAATGCTTCACTCGTGTTTAACCATCCAACCAAAAGGGGGCACTGTCTCTCAAGGCTTGAAGGATACATAACTAAGCAGCTGTTGGAAAGTTTTCCATTTGTTAACTCGTTTCACTACAGCAGCTGGTCTAATCAAAGGAAGCAAACAAAATTTACTGTGCCCTACAGGCTTACCTCGTGTACGTCCTTAGAATTTTGTAACTTCAACAACATCACTGTTAGGCTAACTAAGCAAAATGCTTCAAAGCACCCACAAAGCTCTGACAGTGCAAGGTGAGGACATCCAGTATCTTGCAAAGTCAGGTTTATTTCTGAGGAAAATACACGATTTCCCAACTGATTGTTAAAATTACCAACTACAGACTTTCTGAAGAGAATATGAGGGAAAATTATTAGTAATGGACACAGAATACAACTGTGCTTTAAACAACTGGTCAACCAATACTTTAAAATCAGAAATTGTCTTAGCTAAAATGGAATCAATTTTTTGTTTGTTTTAATTGTCTTAACAGACACCACAGATCAATTTCCCAAAACTGCTCTTTGGTGAATACTACTCAAAATTTGCCTGATTATATTCTTCCATTTATCCATTTCTTTCAAATCAGGTCTAGCAACAGATATTCAAGGTCCAGCACTTTCCTTTTTACCAGCTATTCTTATCTAGGTAGGGATAACCTAGATAAGATACAATACTGGAAAAGAAACTGTAACATGAAAGAACAGTCAGGCACAAAGGGAAACACCAACACATCTCAAGAGGAGCTTCAAGGAAAGATGAAGGAAATCCTTTCCACCTTATTAGTCACTGTGGGTGAAAAATGAAGACCAACAGCCCCTTGGTTTGTGAATCACATTTGCCACAGGGCAATCCATCCACATCCTCTGTGATTTCTTTTAATGCTTGGTATTTTTAATCACACTGAAAAGACTGAACAGAAGGCAATCGCACAGCTGGCTGAAAGTAAAGAAACAGCTGGTGCTTTCAGTCCTTTGTTGGTTTATAGCTACACATTTTTCTTTATTTCAAACTTTCAAGGAATGATGGAATGGAACTTAGTGAAAATAATCAAAGATCTAACTTAAACAATGGATGCAAGATCATTTCTTTCCTGCACACAGACTTTAACAGGTTCAGGTTTATTTCATGTGTCATTGTATTTCTTAGTAGCCTTACGTGCTCATCAATTCAAATTGGTATGGTCAATAATCTTATTTTCATTACTCACACAAAATAAATTGTACTCTCCAGCATTTCCTGCTAGCTTGTGTTTATGCTTCATTTAGCGTATAGACAAACAAGGCAAGATAATGCTTGAGAGATCGTCCACCCGTCTGAAGCAGTAAATACAGTGGTAGCCTACATTCTGTGTTCCACTTAGATGAGGACTACAGATTGCACAGCATGGCTTGTTCTAGTGGTTACCTTCATCTGGATATTTCTTTGCTCGTTCCTCAAAGAACCATTCACCAGCCTTTACTTTCACATCTCTGAAAAACAAGAAAAAGACATTTGAAGCAACATTTTCCAAAAAGTGCATTTCTCTAACTGTTTAATAACCACTTAAGCAATTCAACGGTCCTTCTTAATCCTACCAGAAAACTAAGACTTCATGACTGCTCACAGCGACTGACTTTGCTGTGGATTTGCAAAGTAATGACTTTTCTTTCTTATTCTCCTCATTTTTGCTTCGTAGAACAACTCACCAAAAGCAATCAATTCTGCTCTGAAACTGGGAATCCTAGGTCCATTCCAGCTTATACGAACTATATGCAATACAGCTGCAGGCACTTGTACAGCCTTGTAAGATGGGGAAAAAGGATCTATGACAGGATATGCTGCTGAGCACAACTTGGGATAGTTACTAGGAAGTACACACCGAATTCAACAATCCTGAAGCAGGAGAGAAAACAGTCTTCCTTCACTTCTATAATGGAAGGATGGGATTTGTGGCTCATTTCTCTTCATTTTGAGGAGACTAATATCAGTGACGGCAGTGTGATTCACAGGTATGTGGATCACAGTATTAGAAAGGTAATGATTAACGTATACAAAATTGTGTCAGATAAAATAGCTGTCAAGAGCAGAATTTCAGAAGATTTGACTCCTGTATTTTGTAGTTTCCAACTAAATTAGACAAAGTCTGCAATATGAACCCATCCATTATTAAAAAGGTTAAAAAAATATATTTAACTGAGAACCCTCTGGATACAAATTCTCATCTAAATGTCTTTCAAGATGTTAGGACATATCATACATCTCAGGTCCACGTGGATTTTGGGATGTATATTATGAAGCTCCACTGAAAAAGTTTCCTCAGCAAGTACTGGTGAACTTTATTTTCTACCCAGTAGTTAATTTTCCTTCTCTGAAATTAAGATCTGTATTACCATCCACTCTGCCAAACTTCCTTGAAACTGGCAGCCAGTATAAAGACAGTAAATGGATGTAGAGGCTTGCCTGTGTAGAAAAGCATGAATCTCTAAACACAAGAGCTATACTGACGTTCATGAAAGCCAGGAAACAAAATCCCTGGATCAACCATTTTCCACGCCGTACTGTACTCTCTAGGTACATGTAGAAGGAAGGTGGCACAGCATGGATTCAGCCCTCGTGACCCCAGTGCAAGCACTACCTGACTTGGCATTTTCAGTCACTTCTATGAGATACATCAATTTTGAAGCTGCTGAACTGTTCTATTACTTTACTTATTACTCTTGTGGTACCCAAGATTTAAAATTATGGCCGCTCAGGATTTGAAAATCAGCACTTCCACTTCTTAGCCATCGTTCTTCCTCTCACCAGAATAAGCAGACAGTGCTGACTAGTACTTAAAACACAGCTGTGTTCTCTAAGATTTGCAGCCTTGATGCAAGGCTCACTGGAGGTAACTGAAGGAGACTGACTGTTTGAATGAACTTTGCACCACAATTAAATAAGATGGAATGTAAATTCTGTATTTTTTTTTTTTTACTATAATGCAAAATTCACAGTAGAATCCCTCTGTATCAACAAGACAAAATATAAAACTTCCTCATAAAAAGTCAGAATATATTTTAATCCATTTAGGCAACACTTTCTCATTCTGACCATTAAATATCGGGACAAGCTTATGAAAAAATTAAGGATGCACAGTACTATAACAAGGCACTTTGGTAATTAACTGCTATCTAGATACTATATCCACTATATAACCACCAAATAGCTGGAAACTAATTTAAATAAAAAGAGAAAGTGGGGAAGGGGGACAAATCTGGACAGGGATACATACAGTTGTTTGTAAGCCTCTATTTTTTAGCATTCATAGCATTAAGCACAGACAGTGAAACATCAAAATTGAGCAACTGTTTTGTACTAAATACAGGAGGGGTTGATTTATCTATCTTGTGTGTAAATTGCAAAATAAACTGAGGATTCAGAGAGCACCATTTCAGTGATAGTTTATAGTCTCTTCCAGAACACAGAAAATGACTTTAAACTGCAATTAGAAATTAATTCAGTTTATGACTAATACCTTCTCTCACATTTCTCAGGCATTATTTAAACCTCATTTTGATATCTTAAGAGGGAGTGAGGTGGTACATTAGTCTTGCGTTGGCATATAGTAAAATTTCACCCAAATGCTCACCCTTCATACAGGGATTTATGTTAACCAGCAGACCTGTTGACTCTCTTTCAAGACTCTCTCTTTACTTAGAGATTACTTTATTTTTCAATCCAGGGTGAAAATATATCTAAACCATTTGATTTAGGAAGATTCTGATTAATAGAAGGGACTGTGAGGAAATGTTTTGATATAAAAATTGTACCAATACCGTAAAAAAAAAAAAAAAGATTATTTCCCTTTTTCAGGAAAACAAAACCAAGGTGACAGAGCAAAATAAATAACAATTTCAGTGTAACCAAACCTGGATCTCTGTTCTGACCGTGTTTAAGCAGTTCCTGATAAAATGCAGAAGTTGTTAATGATGTTAAATACATACAAAACATGGTTTCACACTACTCATTCATCCAGGTTCTTCATCTCAGTAGTAAGAGGCAAAAAATAAAAAAAATTTAAAAAAAGAAAAAGAAAAATAATAATGATTAAGAACGTCAAGAAATTTGCTATACTATGCGGAACCCAGTCTGACGCACCACTTCAGTATTGACTCGGGGACATCTATTGACTAGAGTGCCATCTAGAGTTTAGATACTAAGACTGTTCCGCTTTTTGCAATTAACATCTTTGCAAGAGAGATGACGCCACCTCTGGCCTACTTTGAAAATGCATTTTGCTAAATGCAGAAAAGGACTTCTGACTCCATGAAGTACAGGGCAACATTCCAATCAACTCCTTCTGTCCTCACCCAATACATTCATTCTTTCTGCCAAAGGCTTTGGTTTATTATCTGTTTAAAGCAATAAACACACAAAAACAGTGAGCATCCAGTACTGAAAGCCAATGTAAACCAAACCAGTGTAATCAGCAACTTCCCCAAACCGTTAACATTCCTTACCCATGAGCATAACAAACGGTGCATTTCCAAAGGGAGGGATTCAGGCAGACGCGGCACTCAGAGCACACTCGATGGCTGCACCCATTGCACACCGCACCTCTGTTCAGCAGCAATCCAAGGGATTTCTGGCAGCGAGCACAGGACCTCTCTCGGTATTCCTGGCTTACATTTCTTGCCCCTTTCCATCGAAGCTGGTGCAGCTGCATTTTCAGTTTCCTAATCATTCAGGTCAAAAAGGAAAGAAGGGAAAAAAAAGCAACAGTGCAAGTTACAAGCTGATGATGACCTGGTTGCACAATGCCACTGCCAGTCGGAGATGCATCCTTAAGTGTGACTTTATTGTGAGCTCTGTCTGAAGGCATCCATACACACAGTGCACTCCGTGATTCTGTGTGACTCTGCATTTTTTTCACTATACATACAGCCACAAAGCTGCAGATAGAATAACAGTCTAATATAAACGGGGTTCTGTTCACATCGACTTTACACACTCAGGACAGGGCACTGAAGTTACGTGTACAAGTGATCACATGCTCACATACAAAAATTTGGTCTAAACTGTGCTCCCTTTTGATGATCAGAGAATTATAGAACGGCCTGGGTTGAAAAGGACCACAATGCTCATCTAGTTTCAACCCCCCTGCTTTGTGCAGGGTCACCAACCTCTAGACCAGGCTGCCCAGAGCCACATCCAGCCTGGCCTTGAATGCTTCCAGGGAGCACAATGTCTATGACAACAGTTGTTAATATATTAAGATTACTTGATTAGAAGAATCAAATCTTCTATTAAATAATAGTAACAAATGCATCTCCTGAAAGATCAAACAAAAACCACATCTGACCTAAACATCTAAACCTCCCCCCTTCCATTAGCCTTGTTTCCATAACAAGCAACAAGAGACAAGATCTGTTTTCCATTGTTAGCCACATCGCCAATAGCTGTCAATGACTTTCTAATCAATTCAGATTTTTAATAACCCTTCACTTACTTTTCATAATTATTTAACAAGTTCAGGTATACTTAAACTTTGTTTACAGCAAACAATTATGTGTCTATAATTTATTAAGAGACTAAAACCTTCTAACTTAGCAATACAAACATCACGTTTTACACAAGGAAGCAATGTGGCAAAGCAAGGTACAAGCTGCAAGAAAATCCTTACACAATCCCTAATACAAAGCAAATGAACTACTGAAGGATTATCCTTTATCCTCTACAACTGGGATACTTGTTAGCATAAAATCATTACACAGAATCCTTTTTCTAACCAATGACACCTACCGACATCCACTGAGAAAGCACAGTGCTCTTGTTATCTCTTATATATGAGAAGGAGCAGAGATGGATTCAGCGCAGTAAGGAGGTACTTGACAATCTTTAACTTCAGTCCTAGCTCAACAGAGGTTAAATTAGCCAGCCATAGATCTGAATGTGTTCTGCATTATCACGGCTATACAGGCATACGTAGGAACGTGATAATAAGAATGTCATAAAGCCTTCACTGGGGAAGAAATAGAGGCACCAGCTGAACTGCCTATGAATGTTAAGTAAAGTTCACTAAGTAGATTATTCCCTGAACAGCATTTGCTCATCTTTAAAGTAGTCAATAGTGTGGTAAATCCAAGAGGTTCCAGTTAACTCCTGGTTTTCCCACAAAATTAAAACTTACTAGCTAATAAGAAACAAAAGGAGGAATACGTGGGAAATGACAGCAAAGAAGAAGAAAAGCACTCCTGAGAAAGAAAAAGAACAGCAATACACAAAAAGAGGAAAGGCAGGTACCTTACTCTTTCTTCCTCTGTTTTTCTCACCATCTGGTCACGGTACAGGACTTCCAGAACAGCCTCTCGCTCCAATTCCTTAAGGAAGTTTAGATTAAACTCACAGGCCATTTTCCCCAAATTTCACAACTCCTGACTTACTGGTCTACCACATCCAGAACAATGGCTACTACATTAGAGAATATAATGGGGCTCTTCAGAGATCTGAGTGTTTATCAAGTGTTGCCTGTCTTCTCACTCCATTGGTGATAGGTTTTGCTGCGTCACACTCTTGAAGAAAAAAATAACTGTGGCTGTCTTCACACAAGGCATCATTTAAGTGTCTCTGCTATCCAGGGAATATGAACAAGCAAGGTCACAGCAGCCTTGACTTTTTCACATCAAAGAACTTGCTCTTTGCAGAGTGGTTCCAAAAGGGATGAGAGCTTTCAGCAAGGTCCCGGGTATGGCTTCAACTGCCACCAGGTGGAGGGAGAATTCACTGACAGCCAGCACAAAGGATCTGGGAGAATGGTTAGCTTCACTTGGTCTTATAGATTTGGAATTTCAGGATCTAGAGAGAAAAATAATGTTTTATTAACCCTTCTCCTCACTTCTTTAAGTGATTTCAATAGTATGAGTGAACATTCTGGAGAACACATTTTGCTATACTCAAGACCTTTCATGCACAAATTCAGATACAAATGAGATTTTAAGACAGCCTCATTCTTCAGAAAGCCTCAACATAACACACTGCAATGAATCTCCATGTTTTTCAGACAGTGCAAAACAACCAGTAAAGAAGCCCAAGTCAGTTTCTAAGCACAGGTCCCATGACAGGACGAGTTATACTGGTTGAGATGAATCCTCCTTTCTAATCTCATCTTGCTGAGCGGACAAATTAACACAAGCCTATAAGAAAGATGGGAAAGATCCTTTAAGAGTCACTTCTATCAATAACCTGACTTCTGTTAAGCCTAGATAAGACATTTGTCACACAATAATGACATTATCTTTGTTAATACACATGAACACCAGAACGTTAAGACACGTATTATTTGCAGCTCAGTGCACTAACCATTTTTGCACCAAACATGATATAACTGTACAAATATATGAGAGCTATAAAAATTAAAACAGATTCGCAAATGTATTTTGGATATATTCTTTGATCTTCATTTCTGTAAAACTCCTACCTAAACATAACAAAATTTTAATGTAGCAAAGTAGAAAGTTATTCTTGAATCCAATGTAGCTAACATACTATATTCAGCTTTAATATTACTGTGTAGTGCTTATTATAGCAAATGTAAGTGTGTTCCACTTACAAAACACCAAGTACTAAAGATGCATATGTGAAAACAGGTCAAGTGTTTCCAACATCATGTGAACTAAATACACTCAGAATTTCCATTAGGGCAGAAGGGGAAAACCTCACTGAAGCAGTTAGAGATATTTCACTGACACATCTCAGCTGAGAATCCAACCAAATGGAACATTGTTTTAAGCTATTACGAGAGTGTTCAGGTTAAAAGAAAAACCTTCAGCTGTATGAGTGACGATGAATTTCTGAAGTCACAGGGAATTAGTTGACATACAGCTTGCCACAACTGAACTACAGAATGTCACACAAGCAAAAAATGCAGGTACTAACTTCTAAACATAAACAGCATGCGTTCCATTGTTTTATATTTTTTTTCACAACATTCTTCAACAGACACCAAGAGGACAAAGCATTTCACAGAAGAGTTAAAAAAAAAAGAAAAATAGACTGGCTTCCTGTGGAAACAGAAGAGACAGAGATAGGCATAATCATGTTTTATTTCCTCAGCAAGTGCAATTTCACAGGATATTACTCAGTTCAAACCTAAAAAGCAATTTTTCAACATGCTGTTTTCAAAGGTCCCTGCTCAAAAGTCCCTCACCTGCTTTAATCTTTCTCCTCAAGGATATGACCAAGGATTGACTGACTGATGCTCAGAGCCTTTGGTGCTGTTTAAGTCAATACAACCTGAAAGAGCAATCAGTACAAACTCAGGGAGCTCTGTGTTATATACGGGATAGTGAAACAGCCATTAGAACATCCAAAAACTGGAATTCCTGGAAGTTTATAGAAAGCCCTTAGGCTGGCGTATTTACACTGTCATCAGAATATCCTGCTGAAACATCAAAATAAGCATGCAAATTCATGACCACCATTGGTAGGGGGAACATCAAACAAAACTGCTCCAGTGATCTTAATGAAAATACAGAAGTGGCATACTGAGCTCCTAAGAACACCCCAGTGTGCATCAGTTACAAAGAGCAACATCTGCTTTTAAGAAAGACAGCATTAGTCACTGCTTGGTATCCCTTCTTTAATAAAGGACCAACTCCTTCCCCACAGAAAAGGAGAAAGCCTTCCATATTTTGAGTCTATACTGGGAAATGGATTTCAAATGACATCTTTACAAGAAAAACTATAGAAATAATTAAGGGCACACAGAATGTTTCATATTTCTTGAAAAGCTGTATTTACAGCTGCTCAAGCCTCTGCAAATCTAAATGGCACAAGGGAAGGAATAGTTTGGAGTCTTCCTTCTTACCACACTGTCATTCCCACAGCTACGCTCTCCAGGAGGAACAGCAAGATTCCTCAAAAAGACTTACAACCTCAGTCCATCGGTGATAACGCAACCATCAAACTCTCACACCAGCTGGTCTATTGCTACTCTTCAAATTCCATTCACAGTGATAGATCTTTTAAGCACTGAATCGCCTGCCGGCAGCAGAGAACCAAAAGGGGCTAGGATCATCTTCTGACACCAAAAAGCAGAACAGATGTACTGCAGAGAGAAGTGCCAGGGGCCCTGTGTCTAACAGCACTGTGCAGACAAAAAGCCTCCCTGGCTCTCACTGCTAGGCAAGATCATCATGTGCTACACAGAATAAAGGTGAAATCCAGCATAGAACCAGGAGTTCTGCAAGTACTGCAATTATTTTTTTTTAATCTTCGTGAAGATTTAACCTCAGGTACCCATTACTTTCCATCAGATTTTTTGCACTTAAAAAGATAATTTAAAACCTCCTGTATTAATGGAGCCCTTCTGAACGGAATTATTCTTGTGCCTCGCAACAGATTTGAGTCCTTAAACATTTCCAGAAAGCATTCAAGGTGGACTGAGAAGCTCACCACCAGTGTAAAAGAAGAGCTTTTCTAACATTGAAGCTGTTTGCACTACATTTGTTTTTTAATAGCATTCGTGTTGCATTTACCATGCAAGGAGGGTCATTACAGGAAAAAACAACTTAAAACCTCCACCGATGCTCTACTTTCATATTTACCCATCAAATCTATCCATCTTACACAGTCAGCCAAGCTCACAAAACCAAGCACCTTCTGCGTAAAACCAAAAGTAACAGCAACCTGGTGAGTAAATAGCATGATACTTCTCCCTCCTCAGCATAAAGCTCATACATTTCTTCCCCACACATTATTTTAAATAACATACTTAAGAAAATCTAGCAGCAGGCAGATTGTAGGATAGCTTTCTGATAAAAGTGTGACAGTCTACCCTAAAGGAGAGCAGAGAACCAACACGGTCACATCTTAGGAGAAGGCGGCGTGCATGCATACAGTGTAATCTCAGAAGACCTTGCCTTTTTTTCTTTAAAATCAAGATAACATAGTACACAGCTGAAACATAATCAAAAGGCCTACACAACACTAGTTACAGTTCGCAAGAAGTAGTTTATTTTACACAATTTTAAGCTTACAAATGCTTGAGCTAGCGAGCCACTTTCCCTCAAAGCAATTTTGTATTGATGTATTATTGATCTTCCTTCAGATTCTTCAGCATTAGTGAAATAAAGATAACTGAATAAGTACAGTTAAAATGATCTTCTCAAGCTAAAGGCTTCACTGACCTGAGATAGTTGGATAATTTTGTTAATTTACCCAAAAGTAGATGTCTTACACCTGTAGCTAAGACACAGATTGAAGAGGTTCGGAATAAAGATTGTCATCACAAAAGTTACTGGAACATGCTGCTGTTTTACGTTTTGTAGATAGCATGCATTTATTCTTAATCAAGACCATTTCAAGTGTTATTTCATATAGCCATACAACAATTCAATTTTCACATCCTTGTATTAATATATTAACTTGTAAGGTACATACAATACATATATATTACCAGACCTATGTCTTGTGATTTTAATAATCCCACCTCAACAGCTAATGTAAAAAGATGGTATTTTAAGTTACAATTGTGGCATTCCCACAAAGCCGTTACAGTCAAAACAATGCCATCTCAGTAAGCAAAAATGCATTCCCTTATGTAGCGTCATATAGAACAGTTATGAAAAAGAAAAGCTGTCCTTACCTTTTCAAAGGAAGATGTGTGGAAGCAAACTGCTTTAAGAGATGAGTAGCACTCCTGCTATTTACTTATCTTCCCTGAAAGAAAATCAGTAGTTGCCCTCCACCAAAATTAGACTAAAGTACGTACACAAGAGCATCCTCAAAACAGAAGCAATCAAAGAGTTCCAGTGTTGTAACAGTTTTTGCAGTCTCTAGTTTTGTCACCAGCAACAATTAATCAAAGAGAAGTTAGTCATCTTTCTAACATCAAGAAGAGACTTAGCACAACAGAAAACAAAAGTTGACTGATAACAGCAAAATAGACTTGGTCTCCAAGCCACACACAGGAAGAGAAGTAGTTTTGAGTTCCACGTAATTTCTTCTTCTGATACCATAGATGTGAAAATACTACTAACCCCAACGTCCCCAGAGCTCACACAGAAAACACTGCTTGTATCATAGGCAGTTCTTTCTCCATAACAAAATACTCAGCTCTGAATGGCAAATCAATTCATACAAGCAAACAGAGAAAAGCAGACAGATCAAAATAATTTGTTTTTACAGGTCTAGTAAAAACAGCAAATCAGTCTGCCTACAATAAATAAACCTGATTTAAGTTAAAAGGTAGAGTTCTATTTGGATTAGATATCTCAGTTCACTCTATTACAGAAACAAGCACTGAAGTTTCAAATTGAATCTAATTTATTTAAAAGTCTGGAAATTTGCCTGGAAAGCCCTTTTTTATAGACTGACTCTATCAGATAAACCATATATGGACTACAGAAACACTACTTAGCATCCGAGTGTTAGAAGAAATACTGGTTTTAGTTAAAATTAAATCAAGCACTACAATTCTACTCACGTGGCAGAATGAATCCACTTGCAATCTTGTAAACTACTGGCATTTAGTAGGTTCAAGTATTTCCACCTGTGCTCATGGAGCCTAATTACGTTCAACTGTATTGCTCAAGAGACAGCAACAGCTAGCAAGGCACAGAGCTAAGCCAAACAAAGAACGCACGGATAATCTGAGCCTTCATTTTGAGCAAAACTTTAACTAAATAAAATAAACCACGGAGTGTAATTGCACTCATCAGTAGGAGGCTCATTAAACCAGGCTGGAGGAACAAAGCCATGAAGCTACACCTGAGGCCAGCATCAATACACCTACCAGAGCAGGGCAAAAATAATTATCTAAATTACTCTTGGAGACTTCCACTGAGGAGAACTTTGCAACCCACCTTTAGAAATCTCTTTCATGCTTCGTTATCCCCATTGCTGGATCTCTGCTGGCTAAGAGGAGGAGGTTGGGTTCATCCTGAGATGCTGGTCAGAAGCAGCAGGAGATGGGGTCTGACATAGGTTTGGGATACAGAGCAGAGGCACACCCCAGAGACAAGCCTGCAGCAGAGGGCACAGCTGCTGCAATCGGTGCAGCTGAAACCCACCTGTGCCCTCAGGGCCTCAAGACTACAACTCCTAACCTGCATGCACAGGGCTAATGATTCCTGCTACAGCATAGGCCTTTGCCCCCAGAGTTATTCCCATGGGTATCATTGGTAATCTGAGCAACATACAACAACTGCACAAACACCAATCTAAAAATTGAGAAGAAAAAAAAAAAAAAAAAAAAAAGTACAGCTTTTAAACTCGTTTAGGCACTAAAAATAATTAGATCAGATTAAAACCATAAGAATGTCCCTTCAATCTTCCCTGGTTTTGTGTTTTGTTTGTTTTTTCCCCAGTTCCTGAACATACACAGCACACTCAGGCCTTCTTTTAAGCCTTGTTTCTAAAACCGGTGTTCTGAATGCCTTTGTCAGGTCAGGACCTTTAGGGTGGCGACACACTGGAACAGGTTGCCCAAGGAGGTTGTGGATGCCCCTTCCCTGCAGGCATTCAAGGCCAGGCTGGACATGGCTCTGGGCAGCCTGCTCTGGTGGTTGGTGACCCTGCACATAGCAGGGGCGTTGAAACCAGATGAGTATTGTGGCCCTTTTCAACCCAGGCCATTCTATGATTCTGTGAGTCATTCTACACGACCTCTCGGATCAGATTTGAACGCCAACCACCCGTTACGGGCACGAACACCACAGCAGTCACCCCGCCCAGACATCGTGCGGTCGCTATGGAAACCGCGCCATCTTGGGGGCGCAGAATCCAACCAGCCGGTAGCCGCGGCTGACGCAGCTCTCCCCGTTGCTACGCGCCCGAGACGCACAACACGCACCGCACAAGCCAGAATAGTGCGCCGGACTGCGCGGCTCTCCAACGCGGACGGCGCCAGACGCGCAGGCGCAGAGCTGACTAACGTAGCGAGGGGGAGCAGGAAGCAGCCGCGCATGCGCAGTGCGAGGCGCGTGGTGGAGAGCGGGGCGGTGCCGGGGCAGTTTTTACGGCGTGAGGGGCCGCGGCGGGACGATGGACGACTTCCAGGCGGGGGAGGAGGTAACGTCCGCGGGTAGGGTGGTGTCAGGGTTGCTCCGGCGTCTTCTTTCCGGAGGCTGCGGGTCGGCAGAAGGTCTCGCGTTCACCCCTCGGAACGCCCCGGGCCGCTGGGTAGCCCCTGGGGCTGGGCTGGGGCTGGGCAGCGTCGGGCGGGAGCGGGGCTCATAGCTGTGCGCAGCGCTTGCAGTGCTGCTCCTGCGGAAGGCCGGCGTGACAACTCGCTGCATTGTTCTTGAGCAAGTCCGCTGTGACTGTGTCAGACAGTAGCAGAGCGGCTGTAGGGATGGAGGTGTGTCGGGTAGGCGCTGCTTTGTTCTGGATGCTGTGCTGTGTAGGTGGGGTTGCCCCTCGTTTTGTCTCTACCTGCTGGAGCTTGAGAGAGGGCTGAAGGCGGTGGGAAATACAGACGTTATCACAGAATGCCCAGGGTTGGAAGGGACCTGAAGGATCATGAATCTCCAACCCCCCTGCCGCATGCAGGCTGCCAACTTCCCCATTTAATGCAAGACCAGGCTGCCCAAGGCCCCATCCAACCTGGCCTTGAGCACCTCCAAGGGATGGGGCATCCACAACCTCTCTGGGCAGCTTGTTCCAGCACCTCACCATTCTCATAGTAAAGAAATTCCTCCCTCAACTTACAACCATTTCCCCTTGTTCTGCAGTTATCTACCCTTTCAAAGAGTAGATTTCCCTTTTGGTTTCCAAACAGCAGCTTGCTTTATATCCCCAGCTGAAACCATCATGACAGCTCCTCCTTGAGCTGTGAATCGATGCTTGGTCTGCATGAGTGCTCTGAAGATGTCGGTTTCATTCAACTGTAAGCCGTGTCTGCACGCTGAGGCTGTTTGCAGCCTGCTCTGTGAGCCACAGACATTAATGCTTACTGTAAAATGGGCTTATATGTGGACAGATATGCTGCATGCATTATTTTGCGGTGCTTTCAAATTAAAATTTGGGAGCTTTAACTCAGTGTCTGTTCTGGTTTGTTACTTTTGATTACTTCGCAAGAATGTTCCCTTGACTGGGTTCGGGGAGCTTGAGTAATGACGAGCTGTGCCAGACTCTGCATCTGGCTCACAAGAAACCTGCCAAGCATAAATTAAGCTCCTAGTTTATTTCCTTAACAGTGTTTGAACTGTGTACATAGAAATGTGCTCATTGATGATTTAAAGTTCTCTTTTTTTTTTTTTTTTTGTAGACATCTTTTGTTGTTGATGAAGTCAGTAACATCATTAAAGAAGTAAGCTAACACTCTCACTTTGATATGGAAGTATGCTGTGTTGTGTGCTAAAAACCATTCAAGCAAATCTGTTGTCAGGAATTCTGTTACACAACAGTTAGGCTATTATTGAGGCATAGGTAATCATGGATTTATTTAACTGTTGTTTAAGTGGAGATGATACCTAGCCTTAGTTGTGACATGTATTACAACTTAAAAAGATAATGAAAATAACTTTATATATTTCTTTCTGGTTGCAGTGTATCCCTAATTAGAATTTCTAGGTGGATGCTGTATGTTAAAAGCTGTCAGACAGATGTTATATTTCATTAACATGCAACATTTCATATAGATCATCTTCATATGCATGTTACTGTGTCCTTGTGAGATGCTTTTCCTCCAGAATGAAGTTAGTTTGAAATGATTGAACTAATTCTTGTTGCTAGGAAACTAATCCTTGTTGCTAAGAAGAGGTTTGTTTTTTGTGTCCAGTTCCTCTCACAGGGTAGGCATGTCTATAAATGGGGTGGGCATGCTCTACTACACAGTCCTGTCTCATCTGAATCTGAACTGCTTTTGTAGTTCTTGAACAGTTTCTGCCAGAAAAATGCAGTGATATAAAACGTGCAACTTTAATGTAGTTTTATTTGTGTCTTAAAGGAGCAGCTTTCCTTGTAAGTAAATGAGATTGCTCAACTAACGGCTTCTGCTCTATTAGTCAGCAAAAATTACATGAGTCTTTTGTTTTGATTTTGGTCTTTGTTCCCAAAAATGACTGCTGAAAACTCCATATGTTATTTCTACAGATTAATATCTGTGAATGAACTGTTGTTCTGTGTGTTTTTTCAGGACTGTTTAAATGTGAGACCCTTATCATAACTCAGACTCCGGGAAATTGGGATAGGAATTATGCATGAAGAATAAAGATAGCACAAAATGATTATAATTTGTGTCAGCTTCAAACTCTGTTGCATCTTAAAACGCTTCCAACAATCCTGAATAGTATTTAGGTCTACTACTGTGCGTGTGCTGCTGTCTCATCCTCAGTGTTGTGTGTTCAGATGAGTTAATGGCATCTTTGTAGACTGACAGCAGTGTAACTTGTGTTTGTTGCCCACAGGCCATTGAAAGTGCAATAGGTGGCAATGCCTACCAGCACAGCAAGGTGAACCAGTGGACAACAAGTGTGGTGGAACAATCTCTAAGCCAGCTCACCAAGCTGGGGAAACCTTTCAAGTATATTGGTGAGCTCAACTTCGTTTTCTGATAAAGCTGGTACAGTGACACACTGATGGAATTTAACAAAAGACAGTTTAGCAGGAACTGCGTCTTTTAAGTACTTGTAAGCATGCACGTCTGTGTGTGTGTGTATGTATATACATGTGCTATAGTGAGCATAAATGTAGCTAAATATCAGCGATAGCAATACATTAATAAAAGCTTTTCTACTGACAAACAGTGACCTGTGTGATTATGCAGAAGAATGGTGCTGGGCTACATACAGCAAGCTCTTGCTTCTGGGACAACTCCAGTGATGGTAAGGAGCAACACTGCTGGATGCTTCAGCTTGCAACTTTAATACTAATCCTCCTGAAACTAAGCAGCATAGGTTTTTTTGTTGTTGTTGTTTCTGTTTTTTTTTTTAAGATTTGAGTGCTGTAGTTTTGGAGTAATAGCACAATTTTGTATTTTTTTCCACACTGCTGTGATTCTGACTCATAAATGGTAACATGGGATGCTCAGCTGTTGTGAAAGCTTCATTCATAATGTTCTTAAGCAATGGATAAGCATGCACACAGAAGCATGTATTTTAATATTAAGTCATTGTAACCTTCTTCTGTCTCTGAAAGCTTTGTTTTGTATTTGTAGGAACCTGCACCGTGAGATGGGAGAATAAGACCATGTACTGTATTGTCAGTGCCTTTGGACTCGCAATATGATTGCCTTGGAATCAGTCGTACTTCAGTTCTTTTCTACTCTGGCACTTGATTCCATCTCTGCTCAAACTGTGAATGCACTGAACAACTTCCAGTTTTAATGTACCTTCTTCTGTAACTTTCTTCAAATGTGAAAACATGCTGTTACATGGTTTGTGTTTGTATTTTTAGTATTGTACCAGTGTTGCCACACTGTCTTAAAACTTCAAGAACTTCTCTTTAAGGTGCTAATACTGAAATCTGCTGCAGTGTAAACATGTTCTCTAGATTTTTTTTAAAACCAAATTAAAGACGACACCAACTTTCACACTTTGTACTCTTGGTTAGCATTAAATTATTGAAATTCATAACTAGTCGTGTGACCTGTTTAAAGTTAAGCCTGCTGGAATTTCTTGCAGTTCCACTTCTGTTACCTCTCTTCAGTATAGTTTAGACGCACATCAGACGACTCACTTGAACATATTCCAAGAAAATCAAACATCTATGGGAAAGTAACTTAGGTCCCCAAACAATGCACCTGTTTTATCTGCTTATACTACACTTCAGACACAGACGAGTAACAGAAATAAATGTCTTCATTTAAAAAAGGTAAGTTTTTTGCATTCTGGAAGTGCTAGCACTGGAAGTATTAGCAAGCTCTGCTTAAGAAGTCGCTTACTGATGTATTTAGTATGTTAAGTCTTAAAACCTCTATACTTATTTTTCTGATCAAATGACAATGAATTCTGATATACTATCACCTATAATGCTGCTGGTGAACATGCTGTCTTGTGAACACTTTATAAATGAGAAAGACAGTTGACTAATTATGAAAGTGTGAGAGAGATGCATTTCGTTATGGTTAGGGAACTGTATGAAGTTTCAGAATCTCAGGCTCTCTCCAGGCAAACCACCACAATTCCCTGGTTACTGTGTGCAAACATAACCTCCTAGATCCAATCCAAGTAACCAAGTTTAAATGCACACAAAATACACAAGAAGTGAAGAGGGTAGGTAACAATGCAGTGGAAGCAAAATAAAACCAAGATACAACATAAAGATATAAAACTTTATTATGAACATATTTAACAATGACTATGCACATGAAGTCTTCCAAGAAACTCAATACTCAACTTTTGCTTGAAGTGGTACTTTTTTGGTTTGTACTTAAGACTAGAATGAAGCTTTCCAACATAACAGATAATTTGCTGTCCTTAATACAACCTCTAAACACAATATTTAACATGTCCCCATGCACGCTTTGTCAAAGCAGCATTTAATTTACAGCTTCTTATTAAACAGAGCATTTATCTTACACATTTGATACCATTTTGGTACACAAATACTCCATATTTTAGCTTCATTTTACATATTTACAAACCTCTGAAAAAATTTACAGTAATGCAGAGTTTCTTACTGGCATATGCAAAAGGAAGTGGGCAAAAACTAGGTGACTGAATACAAAGTTGTCTTTTGGCTCAGAGATAAATTGAAGTCTTCTCTAGCTTAAAACATCCTTCATTACTTTTTTTTTTTTTAAACCAAATTAGCTCCATAGGTCTCCTGGAATTCCTTACTCATGTCGAACTTTATGCTACTTATTCTTTGCTGGTCCCAGGAAAGTTTCCAACCACTCCTAACACCAACTCCATCTAAAGCACACGCTTCAGAAAACAACTGCTGTGAATGGGTTCATACTCAACTATAAATGATTCCCTGAAAGTCCCATCTTAATCACAATGGACATGGAAGTCTTGCAGTTGTTTACTAGCAAGCATCTAGAGAGCAGCAGTGCTACATCTGTGCTATCTCCTTATTTTCCAAGCTCCAGAAGGGCATGAAATATTGAAGTATTTTTAACAAAAAGAAAGCCTAACATAGCTTCTTATCCAGATGTCTTCTGTTTTATCCTTAGGTTACAGTACGCTACTTGGTGATCAATTTATGCCACCTACTCCCAAGCTGTTTGCAATCCAGATTGTAATATTCCTCAAATACTATCTCCGATTAGGAGAGTGAAGCTGAGATATCTTGCTAGCAGATCTGCTTCACTTTTTCACTTACGAACAGTATTTGCTATGACCGTTCTCCAGTCAAGCTTACTATTACACTCTAGCACTTCTGAAATACTGAACTATTTTATATGGCAAACACTGCTTAAGACAATCTCTAAAGAAATTAAATTACTTCTGTAGTGGGACACTTAACTTGAAGCACCTATTTTGCTATCTCAGCTTTCCTATTTTCATTTCAAATGTAGTCATGTGGGAAAGTTAAGGTATACAGTGGCAAGTGAAACAGGCTGAGAACAGCTTTGAAAGAATACCACATTTTCCAAATTAGATTTAAAATATTTTTAGGCAATGAAATCTAAAGCATGACACTCTACTTCAGGTTTGACTATAACAACCAGCTCAGACTGTGATAAGAAACAGTACACTTTGCACATTTGTCAAATCAAGTATTTTGTCAATTTGGAACAACAGAATTAAACAATATGACAGTCAAAGAGATTTGAATAGGCAAGGATCTGAATTTTTGAAAACCTAATTCCTGTACTCACTCCAGTGCAAGTGGAAGGGACCTGGGGTACACAACAAGTGTCCAGTTGGCTTTGGAGTCTAACTGTGCAAATTCAAACAACTGTAAGCCCCAAGAAAATCACATAGAGGATAATAAAAATAAGATTGGGCTCATCTCTTCTAGGTTAAAAACCTCACCCCCTATACTTGTTAAAAAAATTCTAAAAGAAAATGCTGAAAATATGGCTTCCTAGAGTCACTAACAAAAAACCCCAAAAAACCAAAAAACTCCGTAATGTTTCCCTGTATGTTCTTCTAAATGGACACCAATTAACAAGAAAATTAAAATCTCTCTCTCTCCCCCGCCTTCTTCCCAGCCCCCCTCTCACTTTGTTTCCTTGCTTTAGCCTCACAATAGTGCTTTGGCTTCTAACAAACAGTAACGGTACACAACGCTGTAAATTCCAAATATCCTCAAAAATTACACATTATACAGACACACAAAGTCTTACCACGCTAACAGAGCGTCTCTAACAGAGTGCAGATTTAAATCTAGACTATTTTGTATTTGCAACCACCTGAAGCAGTTCCTTTGATCATCTGTAAGTACTGTTACTTTGTGAAGTCTCCCAGTCTCCCCTTAATGCTCTTGAACAGCTACAGGGAGGTTATTGTGCTGCAATAACCTAAACCAGCTGTACAAATGCAGAATAAATCTATGCCCCCCAGAATCTATGTACTCTATGTAATCTATGTGATTCAGTACATTTAGTACGACTTCATTGCACTGCTCTGCTTAGACTGGGTCTGTCATAAGCATGATTTACTAGTGTAAGCCAGCACCATTTTCTGCCTAATATATCTTTTCCACAGCAGCAGGGCAGAGAAATGTTACAAAAGTACATTACAGTTAGGAATCTATTTCTTAAAAAAAGAAGAGACTGGTCAAGTCCTTGAAAATTCAGAAGTAGTTGGAAACAAACAGCATCCAGATAAATATAGAGCTGAGCAGTAGTGTGGAAGAAAAACAGCTTTTAAAAAGAGAAGCAGCATCATTGTATGAGGAATACTGCATTCCTATATAACTGTTCCAGCACATACTGGAATAAAGAATCATAAAATGTATGGGTGAAAATTTCAAGCAGTACTGCTGGCAACTGTGGTATGACAGAGAAGTTGAGCTATGCACAGAACGTGCTCAAAAGCTGTTAAGCAACTTCAAGGCATAAGCACCTGTAATTGTTCCCAGAAAGCATAAGAACTGCCAATAAATACAACTTCATGAAAAAGTCTGATGTAGAAAAAGCATCTACAATGAAATGTTTGGAAATATGAAGTGGAACTTTATACTGTATTCTTTTAAGTGTAACAATCTCCTCCAGAACACACACACACAAAAGTTCTGACTTCCTTCAGAGGTTAACTTCTGCCTAAATATTTTCTATTTAAAGGGCTATTGAAAACAACAACAATAACAAAACAAACAGTTTTGCTGGGGTGGTAAAGCATGTTATGAAACCTGTATCATACAAGTAACTTTGGACCACAGCCCATTTTTGCTCACTAGAACCTATTTGCACATATCCCACGCTTACAACATATCTGGTAAATCCATTTAAATGGAGTTGAAACAATGGTTTGAAGTTTATACAACCTCTTAGAAGGAGGAATGGGAAGCTTTTGATTTTCTGCATTTCCAAAAAATAATATTAAAAAAAAACAGAGGCAGAAGAAAGAACCTTAAAGCACATCGATCCCTGCCTCCAGTCTAAATGACTAAGGTAGAAAAACAAAAGGGAAAAGAGGCACTTCATACAGCAGTGAACAACAGAAAAGGAGCTAGAAAAAATGCAAGAGGTTTAAGATGCTGTTCTACATAATCCTAAAGGGAGGGGAAACAACAACAAGCCACCAAGCAGCAAAGAAGCAATTTTAAGATCCGTACGTAACCTGTGACACCTCAAAATGGACACAGACTTAAATATTAGTCCAGAGACATCCTGCCAACAGGCATTTTATAAGACGCGTATAAATTTTGGTTTCCTTGAGTTCCCATCACAACCTTTTCAAGCATTCTTTTCAGCTTTACCTTTGTAAACAGAAACAGAAGCAGAATGTCCTTCCTGGAATTCCATGTTCAGACGACAGCAGACTGTAAGTAAGCCAAGGAAGTGGTCCATCTAGGAAAACTTCAAAACTGCTTTAATTCCATCTGAACAAGTCTGTCTATATCAAAATCACTCCATCAGTCACTGTCTGATTCTTCTTTAAACTTGGCTCTAATAGCTTGGCCATTCTGAAGTGGCATTTCTTCATAGTCACTCCTGTGAAACAGGCATTTTTTTGAGAACTTCTGAACGTAATAATCAGTTAGTAAGTCTAAAATAGGAAAGTTCTAAAATACAACGAGGCATCAAATTGTTAGTTGAGTAAAAAGTTTGTATTTTTGTATTTCTTTTGCTTCTTTCTGGGGTTATGAAAAATACGTACGACTTCTCTCCAGAGGCTGATATACAATAAAAATTACTGCAGTAGCTACAAACCACTACTGCCAAGGATTAGCATGCGAGCAAGCTGGCACTACTGCTGGTCCACTATTCATCTAACTAAATGAAGGCAAGCTGCTTCGGGCTGCACGCAGCTACTCTAGCACAGGCTTGTTCAGGTTACTGCAGGATTAAACCATTCCCACTGATCAGCCCTTTGGTGCCTCTGCTTAAAAGGTGAAAACAACAAGGGCAGATAACCAGTTTGTTCAGCATCTAGCACAGGAAAGCCTGACCCAGTTAAGTTTTCATCTGCTACTGTAGTTTTAATGTTACATAAACTCACACAAGTCCTGGAAGTTTTGCTACATTTGGTTATTGCTGTTTTGATAAGTGATGGACACTTCATATGGACAATTATCGCTCCCTGTAGCATTTCTGTACGAGTCACCCCCTAGCTGACTAAACTTGATTCCTCCAATCTTACCCAATTTGGAAGGAATTCCTTTCCATTCACGTACCTTTCAGCCTTCATTCCATGTCCTATCCTATCCTAAATACTAACTTACCCATTTGTGTCAGAGCCTTCGCAATTCCTTTGAGAAACCAAAAAGAAAAGAAAACCAAAATAATCAAAATAACACCCATTCTCATTGTATTTCTGTTTCCAAATAAGCTACTTCTGTTACACAGGCAGTCTACTTTCACTAATAATCTACGAAGTCTTCAGTTACAGTTATTTAATTAAGATGGAAAAGAATATTACAAAAAACAACACGCCAAAAACACCCCATACGTATTTTATAGTCTTACCCATAAATCACATCATCATCTGAGTCGTTCAGCATAGAAAAAGCAGGATTGTCCTTCAACTGTGATTCTGGAAAAATACAAACAAGGGTTAATTTAGCACATTGCATTTAGAAACACAGCTGCACTTTTACTCCAACACTGAAGCAACAGACCCAAAACTTAGAAGGCAATCATGACAACAACTTGACAAAATTATATCCAAGAATTCTTTCCTTTAAATTCCCCACCCTTCAGCCCACATCATCACGGTGTTCTTGTAATTTTAAGAAACGACATAATGTTCTCTTCATATTTTCAGATATATACGTCCCAGGTTGTATAAGCAGACTTCCTCCCTTGTTCAGTTTCATGCCATACCGTTTTTATTTACAAATAGTTAAGTCATACATTACCATTGTGATTATTCAAATGTTCATACTTTTTTCAAAAGCATAGGCTTCAAGACCTTGTTTGTTCCAAGTTTTGAATGTAGCAGACCAAAGTTGTAAATTAACAACTAGCTGGCTCTTTCCCCCCCTTGTAATAGATGAAGGAAGGACTTGTAACTTCATCGTGAGACAAAAGGAAGGTACATACTTTCTATTGGCTACTTATGTCAAATCTCTCTTTCCTGTTTTAAAACCATCGATTTCTGTACTACCTGTTGCTGATAGCTGCTGTTTTAAATTATATGCAATAGAGTCCAATCCATCAATTTGCCAAAAGCATCTTCTTTTCTAGCAGGTTTTTACTTTGTAACTTCTGTAGATTAATACTTCTTGCAACCTTTTATCCTCACCTCACCATTTGTCTTGTCTTTCATAACAAAAAACAGCATCTTCCCGCAACAGTACAATCAATCTCAAATCTAAAAAGTTTAGAGAAAGCGCCAGCTTCAGAATCTCATGCCTTCCTACCCCACAACTCCCAGTATATTTTAAACTCAACGCTTAAAGCAGAGAATGCACTCTACATAAACATGCTTTACAGAATCTTTATCTGTTAGATAGGAGTAATGCTTTATAATCACTATGAGAGTCAGATCATATCCTATACTTAGGAAAGCAAAAAAAGTGCCACAGATTTAATCCTTTGCCTCCCCTTTAAATGGGCTCTGTGAACTCCCCTCCCCACAGCAAGCCCCTCCAGATTCCCCAAGATCCCCCCCAAGTTAGAGAGCAGCTTAATTCCTACATTTCCATCAGCCTGTTTTCCGTATTTCAGTCAAGTTTGCCAGCATGTAAATATATTAACTTTATCATTATAATAAAGTATGAGTAAAGTACTCTAGCTCTTTAAGCGCTGCCTGTGAGTCAGCTCAAAAGTTAGAGCAGTATTTGCAAACACATTGACTATAAGCTCAATCAGAAAAAAGGTGTAAGAATTCAAGTCAAGTCTATTAGTCGTAACTATTTTAGTATTCCCTCATATTTCCAATACTAAATTACTCAGGAACAGCACAGCTTCTGTTAGTGCAAAGCAAATAGAAATTAATGAGACAAGAAAATACGTAAGGACATTACACAGTATGTTCTAATATGCCAACTCTTGTCATCTAAGTTTGCCAGATGACTGAGGTTCAATAAGACCAAGTGCACAGTGCTGCATTTGGGTCAGGGCAATCCCAGGTATTCATAAAACTGGGGGAAGATCTCCTTGAGAGTAGCCATGCGGAGAAGGATTTAGGGGTCCCTGATGGACAAGAAGCTGGACATGCATCAACAGAGTGAGCTTGCAGCCTGGAAGACCAACTGTGTTCTGGACTGCATTAAAAAAGGGTGGCCAGCAGGGAGAGGAAGGTGATTGTCCCCTCTACTCAGCTCTTGCGAGGCCCCATCTGCAGTACTGCATCCAGGTCTGGGGCCCCAGTACAGGAAGGATGTGGAGCTCTTGGAGTGGGTCCCAAGGAGGGCCACTAAGATGATCAGAGGGCTGGAGCACCTCTCCTATGAGGAAAGGTTGAGGGAACTGGGCTTGTTTAGCTTGGAGAACAGAAGGCTCAAGGGAGACCACATTGTGGCCTTCCAATATTTGAAGGGAGAGTATAAACAGGAGGGGGAAAGGCTGTTTACAAGGATGGATAGTGATAGGACAAGGGGGAATGGTTTTAAACTGAGACAGGGGAGGTTTAAGTTAGATATTAGGAGGAAGTTGTTCACACAGAGTGTGGTAACGCACTGGAACAGGTTGCCCAAGGAGGTTGTGGATGCCCCCATCCCTGAAGGCATTCAAGACCAGGCTGGATGTGGCTCTGGGCAGCCTGGTCTGGTGGTTGTTGACCTGCACACAGCAGGGGGGTTGAAACTCTGTGATCATTGTGGTCCTTTTCAACCCTGGCCATTCTATGATGCTACAAATTGCTTACACTTACCATACAGCGCATTCTTTGAGGGGGAATAGACGAAGGCTAATGTGTAGAGATAGAAGTTCAATAAACCATAAAATGATAAGAATTCTGCTGGTAGAAAGCGTCAAGGATTTTTCTCAATATAGCTCCCCTCATGTAAACTTTGGAAATGAGATTCAAAACATATGTAAGCTGCTTCAACAGAAAGAATTTTTGTCACAATAAAGTTTGAGAGCATGAATGGATGAACAATTGGCTTTTGTTTTTTTTAGATTAACTGACAACTAGTATACTCAAGCTGTTTCTAAGTAAAGTTCTAACTGAAGACAAATCTTCAATTTTAAAGTGTAATATTTGCTGAGAAAAGTTCTTCTCTTCAGTAGTGAAGCACATGGTAAAATAGAATATTTCTGATTTCACCACTAAAACAAAGCCTGGGCTTTCATTCCTTTTGAAGAGTAGCAAAAGCAGCTGTGGTTTACTTGATATAAACAAATTAGACTGAAACTGTCTCAGCTCATAATCTTTACAAACAGCTACTAGAAAATAGTGACATGATGCTTTATCAATTTTGATCAGGGTTTCAAAAGTCCACCTAAAAGTCAAAATACTCAGTCCTTAGGTAAATCATCTTTAAGTACTTCCTAAGGAAAACCAGATTAATATTCCCAGTTGAGCAGCATCACAACACAAGGATATAATTCTGATAATGAGTTGACAGCTCAGCAACAAAGTTGTCCTGTAGAACTTGTGCTCCAAAGCGTAAATAGAGTATAACAATGCTGTGGGGAAAAAAAAAAAAGTAATGGCATATAGGTATAATGAGCCTTTAAAATGCAAAATTTAAGTGCAAGCTTGATAGAGTAGTATACTAAAAAAGTAATTACGTAAAAATGCTGTTTATTTGAAGACACATTTTGTTTTCATATTTCTAAATTAATAATTATTATTTTGTGATTTAAATTGAACAGCCAATCTAATAAAGGAAAAAAAACCAAAAAAAACAATGGTCTATTTTTGTCATATTTCACCCACTAAAGACAATCCAAAAGCCAACAGCAATTTAAAATAATTGCTTGGAGTGGGGGACAGATATAAACAATAATGTAAAAGTAATTCTAAACCTCTGCTTTACAGAACACAGCTTACAAAACTCCAAAAGAGATCAACAGTGCACTGCAAGCTACTCAGCAATACAAAATATATCTCCTGCTAAGTCTTCCAGTGTATTGTGGCAGTAATGAAAATACAAAACTGTCTATAAAAACCTTAAGAAAGGGCTCCAAAAATTATGAATTGATTACCAAGCAAAATATATATACAAAAAAAAAAAAACAACAACAAAAACTTATCTCTCAGTTTCACTGAGTATATTATAAAAAAAAAATAACCTTTTCTTTCAAGACTTTAAATATATAAAAATTCAAGTACTGAGAAATGTTCTCTGAAAAGCCTTACCTAATGACGAGCACTACGAAGGTTAATGCAGTCAAGAATTTTAACCTGAGATCTGATAAAGATTGAGAAAAATTACTATTAGAGAATTTACACCTACATCTAGGAGAAGACAGCCAGAAGAACCAAGAGGAATACTTACCAACATAAGGCATGTTACGGAGTTCTGAACATGCTCTCACTATCAGGAACAGAAGGTAGAGAATATATGTGGTTGCCACCACAAGGAAGAAGATTTTCATTCCCTATATAAAGAATATTATTTAAGAAAGTTTGGTCTATTCCTGCTTTCTTCAGTTGTACCCTGCAACAGAAACTGTTGATTTCCAAAACACAGTACAGAATGGTGCATTTATTCAGGGAAAGTATGAAAGGAAGTACAAAATGAGGATGGCATATGTCAAGGTACACTTTTTTTTTTTTTTTTTAAACAAACATATTTCCTGAGAATTATACAGGAAACCATATAAATTATATCTTCCTCTTCAGTAAGGAAGTTTTAAATTTTCTAGTACAGAGGACCTTGGGAAGAGTCAAGATATACAAAACTGACTTAAGAAGCTTAAAAAAAAAATAAATCATCTTTTGGTTCCCACAGTCATGAGTCCCTGACAAAACATGTAGTGTTGAGTCTCCAGATACCCAAGATTATAGCAAGACTGTTCTCATTGGGTTGGAGTTCAATATAGCCTACATGTGATCTGAAGCAAAATGGAAAGTACCCTAGTAGTCCAAGCAAGATCACCAGGTCAACAATTTTCTAAACTGTTAGATTTCAATGGAAATCTGAGAGCAAATGCCCTTCATTGCATTGCCTAACTACATTTGACAACTGAAGATCAAAGAAATATTTCTGACTTACCTGGAAATTACCTGTGTCAACTCTGTATTGATATGTAGGATCATGTACTTCATTAACACTAGAAAAAATTCAAAATGAAAAATTGGTACATATAACACTACAAAATACAAGGTCAAAAACAATACACAGACCAGGAACACTACTAACAAAGAAAGCATTTAAAGTTACTACACAAAGATTAGAACTAAAGATCCTGGCTGTAGAAATTGGTGCAATGCCAGTGATTGCAAAGACAACTTACATGACATCCTTTTCCTTTCTAAATCCCATTTTTCAAGGAATATAGATGATTTTGGTGGCCAGTATGTCCAGACTCCCTACTTGTGCGCAGAGAAGATCTACTGAGCAGGTGAAGGGACTAGGAAACGAGACTTACGAGGAGTAGCTGAGAGAATTTGGACTGTTTAGTTTGCAGGAGGCTGAGGGGGACCTCACCGCTCTCTACAACAGCCTGAAAAGATTGCAGCAGGGAGGGTGTTGGGATCTTTTCTCAGGTAACAAATGATAGGAGGTGAGGCAACAGCTTCAAGATGCACCAGTAGAGGTTTAATCAGACATCAGGAAGAATTTATTCAAGGAAAAGGTAGTAAAACACTACAATTGGCTGCCCAGGGAATGGTGGAGTCCCCATTTCCAGAAGTATTGAGATATGTAGGGTTTGGTAGTGGGACAGTGTAGTTCGGGTTGACAGTTGGACTTCATGATCTTAGAGTCTTTTCCAACCTGGATGATTCTTTTATTCTATTTTTATCTTTATAGGAAGTGTGTAATTCTGTAAACTCCTACAGGCCTTCATGATTTACTGTTTCAATCTCATCTTTGGTGATAAGAATGATACCCAAGAAATAACAGTTGTTTAAACCTTTACTTCATACAAATTCTGCTGATAAAACATTAAAACCAACATTCCCTGCAATTGCACCACTTTCAAAAATGTGCAATGGCAAGAAATATATACTGAGAAATAAAGTGACAGACAAGCAATTGAGAGTAAAATGCTTAAGAGATTTAAAAATGTGTCAAAACTGACAAAGTTTTCTGCGTGGAATATTGACACCTTCACGTAAGTGACTGAAACAGTGAGAAAGAGGAAAAACACTGAACTCATCAACTCAGTCTTGAGAAGCATGGCTTGGCTAAGATCTGTTACTACCAATTGGGCAGGTTGAAGAGCTTTGTTAAACTGTGGTAACAGAGCAACTGATGCTTCAAATACTGAAAAAGCTAATGGGAAGAGCGCGTTGGAGGGAGCCCTAACATACTGACATGCTGACTTCTAGTTCTTACTCTAATTTCTAAAATTATGTACTACTAAATTGTCCATGAAGAATTTTGTTCTCAAATCAGTCACATTTTGCAAAACAAAATATAATTTCAACTCCATCTCTACGGCACAAAGAGGAAGAAGATAGAATTATAAACAAACTTCCCACTCCAAAGCAATTTCAGTTCATAACTTGCGCATTACGTCTTAAGTTACTCACGTTTGCCATACTCCTAACGTAACAGAGGCAAGCCACAATAGTCCAACAATAAGGAATTTGGGCAGATAGAAGGTTAAGCACTTCCTTTCTCCCTGTTAATAAAACAATAGCATGGTCAAGGAGAGAACCCACATTTGAGATTTGAATCCATCGTGGCAGAATAAAATAACCTTTCCTTTGTTTCATTTGATGAATTAGATTAAGAAAAACCACCTTCAGTATTTTTAACTTCTACAGCTGATTGCAGAATACAAAAAAAAAAAAAAAAAAGATACAAAATTGTATCATTTGCATTAAAGTTAAGATACAGAAGATTTGGGGCATCCTGCTTTTCAGGTCCCACATATTTCACTGATACTGAAATGACAGGAATCTGCCCCAGAATTCACATTTCCTTTATGCAATATTATAAAGCGGTTTTAAAAATGAACCACCATCACAAACAACAACAAAACCCTTCAAGCAAGAACAACAGTACCATCATTCCAAAGCTTTGAGCAGACTGTCTCCATTTATCTTATTTAGGTGTGGTAATCTCACTGCATTCTACTTCACCACAAAACATTTTAATTCTGTTTCTTACATTGTACTTTAAGATTAAAATGCCACTTTTTTTTTAATTAAGTTTTTAATTTGTCACCTTTTGAGATAACTAAATAAACAAGTACTGTCTTCTCAGTAAGCATGCTAGATATGGTTGCACCCCTACCTGTACCCTTATACCATGGTAGACACAAAGCCAGAACAATAACAGCGCACACAGAAACAGTGATTGGAACAGGTCATCCAGCATTCCAGGAAACCAACTGTTCACCAGAAAAGAAAGGGGGAAAAATGGGTCTGTAACAAAAGAAAAGAAGTTAAGCGGGGGGAAAAAGAACAGTCTTTTACTAAAAATAAGTTGAATTCATCTTGAGAAGAAAAAGATTTTTTAAAATTACATCACTAAATGAAATTGGAGTTTGTTCTAGCTTACAATAATTTGCAAAGAAAATGGCACCTTCAGCTGCAATTGACTGTAAAACTACACAAATATGTAGTTGCCAACATTTCTGAAAGACTTTGTGTTTTAAAAGACCTTCCACTAAACCACTTTTCTAGGTGATGAACCTCAGAATACCTGAAAGACAAACATTCTTTCAGTACTGCTAGAAAGTGTTAGAAATTGAGTTCATTTACAAGACTTCTGTTTTTACAACACAGCTTCTGTTTTAATACAGCATGAGCATATGAAAAATACAGAAGCAAGACTTATCAGACAAATACAGAAACTACTTTTACATGTGAAAGGGTCAGCATGGTTGCAGCCTCCTACTGCAGTCAATTTTAAATGGAGTTGAGGGAAAAGAACAAAGCCTACCTATTGATTATAACTTTGAATTTGACACGTTTTAGAAGGGTCATTTTTTTTTTTTTATAAATTAGTTTTCTGAAGCCTTATAGACAGCTGCTTGTAAGTTCAAGGCCAAAACTGAGCATTTTCTCTCCTTTTCTTTCTTTAAAAAGAAGTTTATAAAAAAAACCAGTACCGTTGTAAAGCAGGAGGAGAGGAAGGAGGATAGACATCCATTTCTGTTCAATACCCCAGTCTCTCATGGAGAATTTTCGTAGAGAATGCGCAAACAGACACTAAAAACATACAAAAAAAAATTTAGAAGGAAAAAATAGCCTACATAGCGACGTACAGCACATTGCAAACACCACTTTGCAAGGCCTTTGACGCTGATAACACAGTGAAACAGGAGTCTTGTTCCTCCTTTAGCAATAACCTTGTTAGCTAACCTCAGCACAAATTACTCTCAAACTGAAAAGGAAGCCAGAAAAAAAAAAAAAAGGCTGCCTAGTTACTGGTCACACAATACAACTTTCACTTAAAGTCACTTATTAAAAAAAATACATATCCAGATCCTATACAACATTCACAGTTCATCAGTGAGTGACCTCACACGTGGGAAAGAAATGCTATGAAAGTAGCTAAGTATTTTTAAATCTTTGAGAATTTTGCTTTTTTATTGTTCTACTGTTTTACTTTCCCCCCAGACATTTCTGTTCCAGGGGCATAACTGTGAAGTGATAGATAATGTAAATCACAGAGTAATTTAGGTTGTCAGGGACACGTGCAAGTCATCTGGTCCACCTTCCCATTCAAGACAGCGATGACTCTAAAGTTAGATCAAGGTCATATTCAATTGAGTTTTACTCATTTTCAAAGACAGAGAACAAAGACTGTCTGGGCATCCTATTCTAATGTCTGAGCCCACTGAACAAGCCATCTTATTTTTCTAGGATCTAATCAGAATTTTTTGTTTGAAGAAAACGTCTCTCCTAAATTCAAAAATCAGTGTAAAAAAAAAAAAAAAAAAAAAGACAAGCTTCTCCCATTTATTCTTAATGTTCCACAACGCCACTTGTAACTACATAAAAGCAGCAAGTAAATGAGTATTTTAGAAACTTTATTAACACCCATTCAGTAATTTCTCAACTTGACAGCCTGGGGCTAAGTTTTACTAAATAAAGCACTACCATGCAGCATTACCCAAAAACACTGAAGCAATAATCTTACCGTGACCATAAAGGTGAGAACTACAAAGACAAATCGGAACCAGATTTCCACTTGTGAAAATGTAGGATTGTACGTCTTCCACTACAAGAAAACACAAGAAAAATGTTTTTAGAGAGGTCACACAACATCAATAGTTAACATCTTTTGCAGATACTCTAAAGTTTCCCAGCTTTTCAAAATGTGAAGGTATAACCAAATTCCCCCATGTCACTATGGAAATACAAAGATACATTCACAGACACTGTCTTTCAAGATAAAGCTTGCTTCAGGTGAAGAAAAAGAAACTACCCAATGAAAAGATAACCAAAGCAGACTAGTATCTTTGCTTCTCCTTTACCCTGCCACTTTGTAACACACTCATTGTGCTGTCACACATCAAAGTATTTCTTTGAAATCAGCAAGGAAGATCCTTTTTGATCTCTCTCACGTTCAAAATTTGAACTTCAATAATTGACTAACTTCTGTTTATTACCAAGGTCAAATACATAAACTGATTATGAAAATGTTGATAAGGTACAGCTGTGCTTTCTGTAACGAGCTTGTTTTCTTAAAGCTTGTTCTTTTTTCAGACGTGAGACTCAAGAGAAGAATAAATGAGCTAACCAGATACATAAAAGTATTTTTAAGATGAAGGAAAAAAGCTGCCTTAGTGCTCTAATTATTAGATGGCAGAAATACTCATTGTAACATGTCATTTTGCATGAACACTGTTGAGAAATTCTCATATCTGGCCTGCTTCTCTTCAGAAGCCAGTTCTGAAATGTATGCACCACGTTTGCTCTGCCCATCTGACAAGAAGCTTTACCTTTAATGGATTTAACCTACCTGTTTAAAAAAAAAAAAAAAAAAAAAAGAAAAGACAAAAAGACAAGATAGAGGTTTAAGTGCAAAAGTAGAATGAAAATTTTATGTGGAGGATCCTCATCTACAAAAGAATCTGTTATGTTAACTGAAAACACCACAATCCACTGTATTAACAAAATACACTGGTATGTTCACTTGTTACAGGAAAGCAGAGCCTCCGGATTGGGTTTTTGGTTGTTTGCATGAAGGAAAGCCTGCAAAGCAAGACAATAAACCGTAGAACTATAAATGCCTCACCCTGCTTGAAATCCACAACTAAGCAAATACTTTGTTTTTTTTCTTTTTCTTCCCCTACAACTTACTTTTAACGATGCACTTTATAAATTAGAATACATCAAATATGAAGATTCAGGAAGCTCATTTAGTATATATAAGCCACTTCTGCTTTACAGTAAACTTTCCTTTTCTGCCTGCTCTGACACACAGTGTTATATACAGGCAAAATATAACATAGTAACTAGTATTATAAGTTTGGTTTAGCTCCACCTTCCCCTAATGCAAATGTTTCTAAACCTCTTTTTGGAGTGATTCAACACACTTTTAACTGTTTTATTAACAACCTTAAGTACTGTAACTTGCCCAGTTTATTTTGCTAGGAACTGCAAATTTCACTGCTTATTTCACTCAAAAAAAAAAAAAAAAAAAAACCCACATTTTTTTCTTCCTCATAAGTAGGGTCAAACAATTTTTTCCCATTTGCCTTTGTGTCTCAAATCTTTCAGGCCAGCACATTTATAGAGTTTAAAAAAAAATCCTGCTAATTCACACACCTCCTGGAAAGGCTAAAAAAAAAGCAGTTTAGAAAGGCAAGATCTCTATGTGAAAATGCAGAAAACTGTATGTTCTAGTCTCGCTTGTCTACCATTAAATACCTTCTAGGAATTACACTAAAATTATCCGTCCCTGAAAACAGCAATAGAAGTTCTGAAAGAAAATGCTTAAATGCTTTCCCTATGAAGATAAATATTGCTCCAGAACACTAATAACACAAATACTACAACTCTGAAACCAGCAGAGACAGAAAGCTTTATTACAATGCACCTTTATATTTCACGTTCAAAAATAAAGTAACTTTTTATTACAACTAAAGCAGACTTCTCCAGAGACCTCTTTTGCTAGAATAAAACTTTATACTTACTGTGAAAGTAATATTCTGTATTGCATACGTTAACTTATTTAGATCTTCAAAACTAACAAATACGTTGTACTGAGTGTAGTTCAGGTAGCCCAGGTGAGCAACAATGATTTCACTGCATTTCTGTGAACACATACAGGGAAGAGTAATATTTAAAAACCTTCAATTTATTCTACAAAACTCACTGGTAATATAACTTGTTTCTGAGTACGTAGATACGGATGATGCTTATTATACATCTTATCAACAAGCAAACTTCTCGTAAAAGAACTTCAGCTATTTCTTCCTCAAGGATTTCATTCTGGATAAACTGTTTCAGATATCCTTAAACTCAGAACTTTAACTAAAGGTTTCACTAGGAACTTCTTGTGTGGGAAGATTCCTCCCCCCCCCCCCCTTTCAAGCACACAAGCTAGCTGCTTTCAATCAAATGCTCTTCTAGTTGCTGTATAAGAATTTCTCTCTCCTCTAGAGCTCAATACCTGTTTTACTGTTCAAATGTTCCTTCTCACTGTACTGTTAATCTGTTTAATCAGCACGCTTTGCTGGCAGAAAGCTCCAACAAAAAAGATAAAAAGGGGTCTTTTTGATGTAGTAAATACAAGCCACAGAAAAAAACAAACTAGCAATGTAATGGAGCATGCACACAAATATATGTAAAAGTACTGCAGCAGAGTTTTCTTCAAGCACACACACACCTGTGCACAATTGAGCAACCGTGTCCGGTTGTGAACTTGATTATTAACGTAGGGAGTGCTTCCATCCTTCACCACTCCAAGCACTTTGACTGTCATAGTAACGTTCTTTTTGAGTGATACTGTAATTGAGAGAGAAAACGTTAAGCTATTGCTGGACACAGAAGTAACATCTTAAAAAGAGATATCCAGAAGTACTTGGTTGTACTTTACAGGAATAAGGTTCAATCATATTAATTTCAAAACAAATAAGCAAGAAAACCCCTTCATTTATATATTCTGTCATGAAGTCATACAGCCCTTGTACTGAATCCTAATATGTTACGAATTCCTGATCACAGTATTTCTCTTGTATGTACAAGGAAACTTGACTGCACAGTGAGTAATATTATGACTTACACATCTAATTTGTCCCCAGACAGACACAGACTCTCTACACGCTGCAGTTTTTATAGAAATAACTCCCAACGTATCCCATGCACCTTTTGCATCCAATTCTCAAGATCAGCTCAATCCATCCCTTTACTGAGGGCAAGGGGCAGAGATGGAGAGACAGAGGGAAAACTCACCAAGCACAGCCACAAAGAAACAGAATTGGCTACACAACAACAACAAAAATATAGTACACAAAATTAGGTTGCTACAGCAGTTTCCTAAACACTAGGTAAGACTCTCACCATCATGCTGATCCAACTCGACTACACAGGTCAGCCACAGCTGTTGGTTATAAGTAGACAGTGGTGGCGAACTTAAATTAAAAGGCTTCAGCTGTTAAAAAAACACAACAAAAACCCCACCAAGGTTAGCATCAGTCATTATATTACACAATACATGTGCAGTCATAACAATGAAAAGTACATTAGGAACAATATTTTTCAGGAATAAATTTAATATGTGCTATTGCATGGACAGTACAAGCACCCCATATATGTGTTTCAATGAAGCAGCTAAAGCAGCACACGGATTTTGCACAGCACTAAAATGCACTGACTACTTGAAGCACATAAAAGCAGCAGCAATAAAAAGAGTTCTGATATGAGAGATTTAGGCCCCCCCCAAAAGAAGTAATTTATAGCACTTTACCAGTCCACTCAGACTTGTGACCCCAGCCCATACGCTACAGAATTAAAACAGTGTAAATCTAAGTATGTACATCACAACTATCTTTCTACTGGTTTTCTATAAATCCCACATTCAAAAGCATAGGAGGTAACATTAACAGAGAAAATCTAATGCAGGAAAGGCATTTTTAATATCAATTAAGAAAAGTATTTTTTATTTTTTAAGTCCATCCATAGTACAGTACCAATTTAAATGTGTGTGAGAGACCTACTGACAAAAAAAAAACAAAAAACCCAAACCTTCAGAAGTGTCATGGCACTTAATGAAACTACACTTAATTTTTTTTTTTTAATTTATTTTTTTTTTGTTAACAACTTCATAAAAATTATTTTAGTTATTTGTTCGACAGCAAAGAACTGGACAGAAATAGAGAAACTGAAAATGAGAACATGAAAGCTTAATATGGAATACTTCAAGACAGTAAAGGTTCACAATAAGAGGTCATACTGCACTGTCATGACCACTTGAAAACGGACAATTAAGAAGGAAAACAGACTTTCCTCCCCAGCTGAGAAAAAGGGGAAAAAAAAAATAAAAAAAATATCACAGGAGAGTTATCATTATTTGTCACTGAGAACATTGTTTTTCTGTTTCCTGTTCTCATTCTGGACCCTCACAAGAATCTCCAAGCATGAGCTCACCAGGGAATCCTGTCATGAGCGTTACTTCATCAAGAATTACTGTGAAGAAACACTGCCCATCACAAAACTCTCTACCTTACCTACTTGCAAAAGACTAAAAATTGGTGCCGGGTCACACAGTGGTAGTAAAAGCACTGAATGTTCTGTTTCAAATTGGAAAGCATCAGGTGGCCAAGAAGCTTCCTAGTAGAAAATGAACCACTTAAAATAATGGGACTGGAGAAAAGGTGTATCTGACATTACGGATACCAAGTAAAATATTTGGATAATCCAGCACTGTTTATCGACCCTTACCTTTATGCTGTTATTTAAGTCAGTTCTCGCTACAGAAGTTTCAATTACATTAGGACCTACATAATAAACAAGAAGGAAGAGAACAATATTGAAGGATCAGTGTAAACACAGGATTTCAAAACATTGTACAAAATACTTCCTCACTAAGCAGGTAACTAGCACCCCCTCGGGCAGATGTTCTAACTGAAGGTCACTTAGGCTTCTTAATATCATTAATAAACTTCCCACCCCACAGATTCTGCCATAATCTTCCTGAGCATAAATAGGGTGTAAATTATTAATCAAGAACTCCACGTCAGAAGTTCTACATGCACACTCCAAATTACAACAACAAAGACACGGTGTATTTTCCCTAAAGCTACGTGCTGTACATTCTATGTTTCCCCTCCCTGTGTGTCACAGTCATGAAAGTAGTCGGCTCCAGAAAAAGCCAAGTGAGCAGCAGAGGCACTGCTGTTACAGCACCTTGAAGCTCAATCAAGGGCTGCAAAAGCATCTGAAAAAACAGCTTCTTTTAACTACTCTTATCTCTCCAGTTTTTATGGCCAAACTGCTACCATTACCCAATTTACTTGGAAGATAACAACTATATTGCATTGCACTCACAACTGGACAAATACATTACATTGCATCTGACTGAGCAATTATAATGCCTTTTTATGTACATGTAGAGTATTTGATTGCATAATTAGTGACAGTACTTCGTAGCTCGTGCAGGATCTTGACTGTATTGGGCTGTTCAAGGAAGGCAACCCACAATTGTGGTTAGGAATAGTGCTCAGACCAGCCAGATTGGGACCCTTCTTTTCTATAAAAATGGGGAGCTGTAATATATTATGTATACCATCGCAATAAATGTAATTGCACAGAAGTTCTACAAACAAGTTCTCCTAAAACACACAATCCAATCAACCAAAGTTTCAAGTCCACCTGTAGTGGGAGATATCCAGCTCTTTCCCACATTCCTGCTCCTATGGCAATCACTCCTCCGATTTCTCCAGATAAAGACACACACACTGAATGTGTACTGATTAACTACACCTGTCCACTCACATCCTGCTTCCCTCTACATCTGTATGCAGTAAATGGGGAAAATACAAAACCTTTGTTTATTTTAGAAAAAAACTCCAGCAGCTGTCTGGCTCAACCCTTCCCTCCAAAGAGATGGAATTAGATCAGGATCACATACAGCTAAGTCCTGAAAACCTCTAAGCACAGAGACTCCCAGAACACCCCTGGGCAAACTGTAACCACTCTTATGATTAAAAATAATATAACAGCAATAGTTCTTAATATCTAACTGCAATGTCCTGCATTCCAGCTTGCATCTGTTGCCTCTCTCCCTGTCACCATACACTTATGAGAAGAGCCTAGTCCCATCTTTTCTTTATTCTCTGATAAGGTTGTAGACAGCAACAAGGTCTTTCCTTCATCTTCTTAAATATGCAAGAACACAGAGGACTAGGGAGAAAGGATAGGATTAGGGAGAAAAGGAAATGATACTCAGGCACGAGTACACACACACAATAACTAAGCTTGAAAAATCACAGAGAATAGTAGGAAAAGGTCTGCAAGTATATACTGGGGTGTGAACAAACACTGAGATGCACAGCATCTAGGGAATAAACAGGGCATCTATGTGTGCCTGGGTCTCTGGTTCCAGTCCCAGTTAGCCTTCCTTGTCCAAGTTTCTCTCCTGTTTGGTATGGCAATTTAACACAAGTTACCAATCCTTTAAACATGCTGTTCCAGCCATATTAGTATTAAAAACTATGCAATAAAGACAGTTTTTCTACAAAGACCATGGAATTCAAAGTTATGACAAGAGAAGCAACAGAAAAGAAGGGTTTATAAATGAGTGAGCTCATTCATGAGCTCATTCTGGGCAAGACTCTTATGTTAGCTGACACAACAGTTAAGACAAACATGCAGCATTGCTTGGGCTTCTATAACCACTCTAACTATAATATTAACCATTTTACAGACCTTAAGCTTCATATTACAATTCAATTTCACTAGCAGCTATTTGTTACAAAGCCAGCTGAGAATTACTGAACTTCCTGGTTCTCAAGTACATACAAACTACTGCCTGGGTACATTTTTGGCCAGTATTTTTATCTCAAAAAGCATAATTGCTTTTCTGTAACTGCTCAGAGTTGATTAGGCATCACATTTCAGTAGTTAAGTATTAACGAAAAAACATCAGAACAAAACTTTCTGAAGAGCTCTTTTTAAAAATAAAACAGAAGATATGAAAAAATACCGGAGAAAAGTGATCACAATCCCAGTTTTTCAAAACTGAACAGCAACCAGAACAATAACTCGGTTCTACTGCTGTGCCTCTAGTAAGCAATATACTAAAGCTTTTTAAAGCATCTGACAGAAACATCTTGCGGTCTTATCATTGAATAAAACAACAACAACTGTACTTAAATTGCATTGTTATTGCTTTCCTTTATTCTTACTAAGTTAACAGAATCACATTCGGAAGCAGAGAACCTCTCTGAGATGAGGAACATGAAAACTGCATAGGTACAGGAAATGAGTTCTGCACTTATCCTGTCCTTGCACTCATCTCACCACAACGATCACAAAGACACACAAAGGGAAAGTGAGCAAGTGTAACCTGCAAAAAAACAAATCCACACTTCTTAGGTTACAAGAACTGAAAAGGAACAGCCTCCTCAGAGTAAGCTATATTTTTTACTCAGATGAGTAGTTAAGACTGCTAACCTTCCCAAAAGAAGAACCACTGTATGGGGAATGGTATATAGGTTGCACATAAAGCTGGATGCATCTCCCACCTTTTCATTTACCTCGTGGGTTTGGTGAGTTTGGCTCATACCACACCCTTTGATGAGTGAATGCTCTATTGTTCGTGCCCCTCCCTCTGTTAACAGGAAGCATGAAGCTGTCAGCCAAAGCCATTAAAAATCACCACAGTGTAAGTGTTCATTCCGTGGCTCTCCTCCCAAGGTAAACAACTTTCTTTTAAAAATAATTAAGTTATAATAATGAACTGCGTCCAAGCTTTGTCAACAAAGCCATCCAACAAACCAGTCTCACAAGGAAAACAACTTTCCAGCTTTGCCAACTCCTGAAGGGAACCACAGACGAGTCCTGGAAGCCTGGCACAGTGCAGATGTTGGAGCACGGCTTACAGCAGCCCTGGAACAAAGGCACCCACAGCACTAGATCTGCATGCAGGCAGATATAACACAAAAGACCTACAGCTCTATTTTAGGATTCACTCTTAATTAAGAATGAAATTCTCAAAGAGCACAGATGGCTGCTCGCCAATTCTCAGGTAAAACAATTTTAAGCAATTCTTAAAACTGACCTAATCTCAGTTTTCCATTTTATCATTCATATAAAATGTAAAAGTATTTTTTTTAGTATTTTAGTCACAAAATAATGCCCTTCAGCATCCTTAGACAAGTCAGAGGAAAAACACTGGTTTATCTTCAAGAACTGAAATAAATTCTGTTTAAACCTTAGGCCTCTACAGTCAAGCAGCAGGAACAATGGACTTGTTTCATAGGTAAATTTTTAATATTACCATGAATAAAGTGCTTTCTATAGGGTATGGATACACACAAAAAGCCCAAGTCAGGCAGGACTGGATGAGCCAAATGCCTCTGCAGGCCTCTTCCTTCTAAAAGGAAGTGAAGGATGGGGTAGAGATAGAGACAGGTACAAAGACGGGCCAAGATGGTTGTCAGGGGAGCAGCACAGATCATGCCAGCTGATACAGAAATAGGATATCATGTGAGGAGCTGTTAAATGGTCTAACATGGTAATATCCCTATTAAAAAAAAACAAACACATGAGAAGGAATTTTCGTCCCCTGTAAGAAGTTATATTTCCTCAGATGTCTCAGGGGCAGTATGCTCATTAGCTTTCACCCACATCTGTAACTACCAGGACACTAAGACAAAGAATACAAAAAGGTAATGTTTTAAAAAGGCAACATCCTTACCTGCTATTCCTATGAAGACTGTCAAACCAAAACAGACAAAGAATACTACAAAAACCAGGACAAAATGTCGTTTGGACAGTGTATATAATCGCATCGGTGCCAGCCTACAGAAACAAAAGAAAGCACAGAATTAGCTGTCAATCATATTCCTAAATTATAAAAACAAACAAAAAAAAAACCACAAAAAAAAACCCACCCCTGTACCTGTTGGACAGATCAATACAATGGAGAAGGTGTTACAACAAAGGTTGTGATGACAGAAGGACCAGCATGATAGAAAGGTACTACATAGGAAGGGAAGAAAACTGCTCAACCGTATCAGAAGATTCCAGGTTTGCAGGGGAAAGCTTCACCAAGAAGGGATCTCCATAAAGAGATCCTTCCTCAGCTGCAGTCAGCCCTTAAATGAGGTCTAAGAGAGGTGCAGCCAGGCTCCACTCATCACACAGCTGAACTGCCTTCACCTGTGCCCTGGTCACCCAGGGCTGACCAGGTCCTTTCCCCACGTGCTCAACCAGTGGTTCAGGCTGTGACTCAACAGTTCCCATACAATCCCCTTCACTATTCATTCCTCCACAAAAAATATTAAACCAATCTTTGTGGTAACATGCAATACTAAGAAAAGAATACAAACTAATGCTACTTTATAGAGCAAAGATAACTACTAGGGATTATCAGACAGATGAATGGGCACATACACCCATATCCCACAACAGACAAATTTTGCATGTTTTTTTTATACTAAGATTTTCTATTGTCCAAAGAGAAAGCAAGGCAAACAATTCACTATGAACTAGTAAAAACATATAATAACAACCTAAATTTTCTTAAAGGTAGGTATTACAGAATAAATTGCATTTTTTTTATTAATGGTGGAGTTTGAAATATCAAAATATCTGTTTAATGATGATGTGGAAACAAAGAAAGAACACAGCAGTAATGAGGAATGCAAGCAAGGGACTGTAAATGTTAAAAGTTTGCACAAAGTGGCTTTACAGGACTCTGGATAGCATCAGCAAACACAGGGTAACTTTTGTGCCCACTTGCACAGAGCAACAACCCAGTCCAGTTTAGAGGCCTCACAGACAAATGCAATTTTAAGTTGACTTTTAAAAATCCCAGTTCATGGAGGCGCTCCAAACCAAGACTTGTCTGCACAATTTTTGCAGAGAAATAACTACACTACTTTTCCTAAACCAAGATCTTAACGCCTCAGTCTTTGTGCACTTAAAAGCTATTACTCTTGTGCTAGTATTAATAAGTAAGACATATTATCTGACTGACAATTTTTCAATGGTACCTTCAGTTCTACAGATGATCCTTGTTTACCAAGAACATCACATGTGGGGTACTCTCTTGATTTAACAAGAACTCTCTAACCTCAACAAGAAAGTGCTTGCTACGTGAAAATCATTTTAAAAATGCCAATATGCCTACATTGAATGTGACAGCCTAAGTGGATACCACATGCTCCCTGGAAGAGCACCTACTGAGCACTGCCCAGTAAATGAAAATTAACTCCATGAGCTGGGAACAACTGAAGTGAGAAAAGTGACATATATATGTAGGGAACTATCACGCATATCTTAGCTTATATCTGGCAATATACTTAACAGCCATGGCCTGGTGCATGATGCACTTCTGACTTGCTATGCACATCCTTGGCTTTGTTGATGAGCTTCCAATTTTCCAAGTTTTTGTAGACATTCGGAGCTGTATTACGTGTAATACATGTAAAGCAGCTTCACCTCCTGAAGGGAAAGTCACCAGGGTTCCCTCAGCCAGCACTCACAGCTGTACAGTTACCAGCAATCAGCACCTTCCCTTAGTGTTGCACCAGAACACAGGTGTGCTCGCAAGCTTTCGAGGAAACCTGTTCCAGACATTGGTTCATTCTTTATTCCAGTTTCTCTGGATGGTGCAACACCTAACAGTCAAAATGGTTTGCATACACCTGAAAAGCAGGTGTGCTGACACTTTACAAGGAGACATTTACACCAGACATGCTATGTCTTCTCCCCTTGCTTTTCACACTGCTACTCCTGAAGTCTCATTTAAGAGAATGGGTGTAGGTATTTCACAGGTCAGTGCTGCTGTACTGATCTGCCCAGAGACCAGGCAAAAGAGCAGAGTAAGAAGAAAAACAAACAAACAAATGGAGATGAAATAGCTCATCTGAGAAAAAGAACATTCACTGAAATGATCCATGTAAGGATTTGAAAATGAGATACATACTGAAAACTATCAAAGAATTGTAGAATGGCTTGAGTTGGAAAGGACCTCAAAGATCATCTAGTATGCACAGAATTCACTCATATAACCAAGTATGCAGAATTAGATCCCCTCAAACTCAACTCGTATCCACCTCAAGCCGTTGCACCAGCAGTTATCAGTGTCTGGTACTTGCATTGCCATGTTAGCAACAATTACGAATTGTAAATCACAAAGTATATTGCCCTTGAGAAACAGGAGTACTCCAGTCTGTAGGATAACAGAAGCATTTCATCTCTTTAAAAGAAACCCACTGATTTCTGACCCCTTAAAAAGTCTGAAAATACAAACTTGTGGAAGTGTAAGAGCCAAAAGCAAAATCAGTGAAACACAAAAGGTAAGCTATTTATTTTCATTTCCTTGTTTATCACAACCAAATACATACTTCAAGCAGGCTGGATGTACCAAACTATGCATACAGAAATCATATACGCATACACATCTTCTGAAAAGGTCATATCTACCTGCAAGACAGAGGAAAGCAAGAAAGGACAAAAGGAAACAAAAACAATAGTACCTGAGTCAAGGCTGGAAAAATACAACCAAACCGAAATAAGAAGAGGAACAAGAATAACAAGTCAGACCCACAGAACATTTCTATGGGGTCTCACGTAACTTAAAACGCACTGATAAATATTGACCCATGTTGGATGTGATGGAAGACATGCATCTGTGCATTAAAGTCCTATGTGATCAGGTAGGATAACTATAACTGAACTTTGCTCCCTAAACTGGTCTGTGAGTCCACAGCTGTGTAGCATGCAGCTGGCCAGCAGAACCATCCTACCTAGCAACAATTTGGAGATAAAACCGGTTGTGTGACAACATCGCTAGCAGTCCTTCAGAAATGCCTATTGACACAGCACCAAAGTCCATTCTGATGAATTCTCTACAGATTTACAAGAATAATTCTCACTCCCTTCAGAAGTCATTTGCTATGAAGCTAGACCTTAAACTAAGGTGATTTTGGCCAAAACATAGTTAAACATCAAGGCCTTTACTCACAAAACCAGCAACACTGGAACCCAGCAGCTTACACCCCAACACTTCCACCAGTGCTGAAGTGATACAAATGCTGTGCCAGAGAACTTCCAGAGACTTTGTGAAAACACCTCACTGTTTTTAAGTCACAATCACCACACAACACTTTTTGTTAAGAGCAAACAAGAAAGCTCAGCCAAATATTAACTGCAGTTATCATGACAGCCAACAACAATTTATTACGCTCCTACAGAGTGCTGTAATTTTCCGTCACCCCTCCTTGCACTCACAGAATTTCCTTGTCACTCTGTGGTGTCCCATTTCAGCCTATCACCATCTGACAAGACAGGCAGATAAAACGGCTCTCCTGCACGCTCACTGTTTTACATCTGCCTTTTGGAAAGAGATCATATAAAATTTATGAACACAGATAAATGCAAGTTGATGACTTCCTACCAACATCTGAAAGGCCTAAAAAGAATGAGACATTTGGAAAGCACTTAAGGGAAGATTCAAAAAGAAGCCTCACTCCGGAAGCACTTGTACAAGGGAGTAAAGAATTGTGCTTCCCTTCATCAGTGGAAGAAGCCTTTTCACTCCAGCCAAGGCAGCCTAATAAGGCTCAAGGAAAAACATCCCACATTCACAGATTTGTCAGGAAACTTTCACACGCTGGATTTTTAAGCTAACTTGGATAGAAAGTGATATTTTATAACTACATTAGATTAAAACTAACTGCAAACAGCAGAATGTTCAGCGATACAACAGGGATATATTCAACACCTGGAATGATAGTCAGTAAAAACTACAGCAATGTAACTTGTGACAGGAGAGCAATGGAAATGCATACTTGTAATAACTGTAATCTTTCAGTAGCCATTCACATAACAGACATAAAGGTGAGTTACATTTTGCTCTTTGAGCCACGTTTTGGGTCAAGGTGTTACACAATTGTTTACCTCAGGCTATTTCTCATTTCCTCAACATCACATCACTTCCCTTGCCTGCACTATGCAGCCTCTACTACAACGTCATCACTAAAAACAAACCATTTAATAGTTATAATGCTCTTCACTTAAGAATATCACTTTCAGATGAAGAGGATGGGACACAAGTGGGATTAAGAAGCAGTTGATATCAAAACCACAAATAGTTCACTTTTACGCATGTTTTTTTAGCCTATAATGCTCTGCCTCCAAATGCTCCTTTTAGACTCTCCCAAATGAAAGCACAGGAACCACTTTGATTTGAAGTGCTGCATATAGAATCATTAAGATTGGAAAAGACCACTAAGATCATGAAAATCAAGCATCAGCCCATCCCCACCATGCCCCCTACCCATGTCCTCAGTGCCACATCCGCACAGTTCTTGAACACTTCCAGGGACATGACTCCATCACATCCCCAAGCAACCTGTTCCAGTACCTCGCCACTCTTTCCGAGAAGGATATTTTTCCTAAAATCCAACCTGAATGCTTCCAGGCACAACTTGAAGCGTTCCCTCTCATCCAATTGCTGTTATGTGGGAGAACTGACACCGAACTCGCCACAACCTCCTTTCAGGCAGTTGCAGAAAGCAATAAGGTCTCTCACGAGCTTCCTCTTCTCCAGACTAAATCATCCCAGCTCCCTCACCTGCTCCCCATAAGACTTGTGCTCCAGACCCCTCACAGCTTCATTGCCCTTCTCTGAACACACTCCAGTGCCTCAACACCTCTCTTGTTGTGAGCAGTACTCAAAGTGTGGTCTCACCAAGTACAAAAGGAATACACTATGCGCATCCACAGCACCAAGACTACCGGCACATACCCGATTTCCCTCTTTTAAAGGCGACTACTGGCTCCACTGTCCC